AATCTTGAAAGACTTTCCTAAAGTACTGAAGTTAAAATCCGATTCGTGTAGAGTAAAACATAGTACGGTTCATTACATCGAAACATACGGTCCTCCTGTGCACAGTAAACCGCGTAGGTTAAGCCCTAAGTTATACGAAGCAGTAAAAAAAGAATTTCAATTTATGATAGATCAAGGTATTTGTAGACCATCAAAATCAGCATGGTCATCACCTCTTCATGTAGTTTCTAAAAGTTCGGGCGACATACGGCCAGTAGGAGACTACCGAAAACTAAACGCGTGCACCGAACCCGACAGATACCCTATCCCGCATTTACAAGACTTTAATAATACGCTTAGCGGAAAGACAATTTTTTCAAAAATTGATATCGTTCGGGCATATCATCATATACCAGTCCATCCAGATCATATACCGAAAACTGCAGTTTGCACCCCATTTGGTCTTTCGAATTTCCGTTTTTAAATTTCGGACTGTGCGGAGCAGCTCAAACCTTTCAAAGGTTTATGAACGAAATTCTTGGAGATCTAAAATTCGCCTACGTCTACTTAGATGATATTTTGATATTTAGTCATACGGAAGATGAGCATAAATCTCACCTACGTACTGTTTTTGAAAGATTAACTTCATATGGATTGACAATTAACGCTTCGAAATGTGTTTTCGGCGTTCCGGAAATATCTTTTTAGGCCATATAATCAATAAAGATGGTACCAAGCCTCTGACGAACAAAGTGGAACCGATACTTAACTACCCACTTCCTAAAACGGTAAAAGATTTGCAGAGATTTTTAGGATTTTTAAATTTTTACCGTCGATTTTTACCCAACGTAGCCCAGAATCAAATACATTTAACTTCGTATTTAAAAGGGGCTAAGAAAAATGATAAGACAATCCTGAATTTGTCTGAGGAAGCGCGGAGTGAATTTCAAAAGTGCAAACAGCTAATCGGTAATGCTGTTCTTTTGGCACACCCGAAGAAAGATGCCCAGTTGGTTTCACAGGTTGATGCGTCAGACTTCGCGATCGGTGGAACGCTATCACAAATAGTTGATAGAAATTTACAGCCTCTCGCATTTTTCTCACGAAAGCTTTCGCAGGCGGAAAGGAACTATAGTGCGTATGATCGAGAGCTATTGGCAGCTTATGCTGCTATTAGGCATTTTAAGCATATGTTGGAAGCACGGAACTTTTCTTTAATCACCGATCACAAACCGCTCACGTATGCATTCCGACAGCGTTTGGATAAGTGTTCACCTCGTCCGGCTAGGCAGTTAGACTTTATCTCACAATTCACCACTGAAATTCGCCATATAAAAGGTTCGGAGAATATCGCTGCCGACGTACTTTCGCGTATAGAAGCAATAAGCATGCCTAACCCTATCGACTATGAGGAAATCGCTAAAATGCAAGAAATCGACACAGAATTACAAACATTGCTTAAAGAGTCAAAAGTTCTACATCTCAAAAAAGTTACCTTACCGAATTGTAGCTTTTCGATATATTGCGATGTGTCAACAGGTAACGCCCGTCCTTACATTCCTCCGGCATTCCGTGAGAAAGTTTTTGCCACCTTGCACAATTTGTCTCACCCCGGCATTCGCGCATCAACAAAGTTAGTATGTTCACGGTTTGTTTGGTCTTCCATCCGCAAAGATTGCGCGAAATGGGCACGGCAGTGCATTCCGTGCCAGAAAGCAAAATTAAGCAGACATACTAGAACCCCGTTAATGAAGTTTCCAGACCAATCACAGAGGTTTGATCACGTCCACCTTGACCTTGTTGGTCCCCTACCTCCTTCTCAAAATAATTATTACTGTCTAACTATGATATATAGATTTACTAGATGGCCCGAAGCAGTACCCATACCAGACATAACAGCACGCACAGTAGCACAGGCTTTCTATGACCACTGGATTACTCGATTTGGTTGTCCGACTGTTATTACTACCGACCAAGGGCGACAGTTTGAAAGCGGCTTATTTCGAGCCCTTTCCCAATTATTGGGAATCAAGAGGATCAGGATGTCTCCGTACCACCCACAGGCAAACGGACTGATCGAGGAATTCCACCGTCCTTTGAAAGCTGCCTTAAAAGCGCACGATACCAGTGACTGGGTGGCTGCCCTTCCAACGCTGCTGATGGGTTTCCGCGCCGCTCTCAAAGAGGACATAGGAGCAACCACTTCTGAACTGGTGTATGGAAAGACTATCCGTCTCCCAGGAGAATTTTTCAATCCGACACCTCCGGATGCGTTCCCCCAAACAGTTTGTGGAGGATTTAAAATCTCACTTTGCCAGTGTCCGCCCGACCACGACTTCTAGCCACGGTCAGCGAACATGTTTCATTCATCATCCACGCCTTCACAAGTCCACATATGTGTTTGTTCTACACGACGGAGTTAGAAAACCACTTCAAACTCCTTATGATGGACCATTTAATGTGCTAGAAAGACGAGATAAAACGTTTGATCTCGAAATAAAATGGACTAAGCAAACGATCTCCATAGATAGACTGACACCCGCTTTTGTAACCATGGACTCTTTTCAAGTTGCTTCCAAGAGTGTGAAAAAAACTTCGGACATTTGTATCACCCGTTCTGGACGATTAATCCGACCCCCGCATCGGTATGTCACATTTCGTTGACACTGCGGAGGGAGTATGCAGCGGCAGCGCCAAACAGGCGATACGGACTTAAAAACTGTACAGAAAAGCGCCAATTGGTGAAACAGTAAACCCGTTTGGCAAACATACAGGCTGACGGGGAGAGAAGAATTTTCCCCGGCAGTCAAGGGGAACTACTTCAACAAATGTGTGCGTCTCTGTTTCGCCGAGATATGTGAACTTGTGTACTCGCATCTGTACTGTGCTCTGAATTTCTTAAGCCGTTATAATGTACCCGGCAACTGTTACTTTTCCTTATTAAATTTGATTATTAATTGTAACATGTCTATCTTAACTAAGATTTCGGCTTTCCTAGTTAATGTTAGGGATATTTTCGATGCACGTGTCCACACATAAAGACACGTTCACCAGAAGGTGGAAAATACCTTAATCCTGTTATGGGCGACGGAATAAGAACCTTTGCAAAATGGTGGTGTGAATGTACTACTTTAGTTGGATGCATTGAGGTCTTAGGTTTTTGCGCAGGAAAATGGCATGCCTCACCGGACCAACTGGACCTTTTGAATATGGGCCGAGAGTACTACCGTTACCCTATGAAGGTATGCTGGAATACAGGAGAAAATACTTATAATGAAAATCATTCTATCATTCATCAATAATAATAATGAAAATTATTATTTTAACCAAAAAAGGAATAAAAAATTTCAGAGGTGGAAGCAAGAAAAGTTAGGAAAGCCAGTTAGAGGAGAAAAATGTTTTGTTTCCTAAAATTCAAAACGTGGAAGAAATGAGTATTGTTCATTCAGAATGAGACAAGGCAAAATGAGAAATTTAGGTCACTTGCGTCAAACCAGAAATTGATTCAACTGCAGTTATGATATCTTACCTAAAAAATAAATAAACAAATAAATAAAAGACATTCCATTTCTGACATCTGTTTCTAGATGAGAGTTTTGAAAGCTAAGATTATGTATCGATACTGTGTGAAGCATATCTGTTAAGTACGAGACTGATAAATGTTTGCAAAATGATTTGCAGAAAGGGAAAGTAAGGAAATTTGTAACTATCAGTTTGCTTAGGTAGGAGGTACATTACTGTAGATTACAGTTCACTTTGTGAGGAAACATGTAAATACATTGAACTTTTTAAATCACAGAATGGTACTAATTTATGTTCATCCCTCAAAAAAAAAAAAAAAAAAAAAAAAAAAAAAAAAAAAAAAGTCAATTGCACATGTAGCTACATTGGCTTAATATAGATAGATATTTAAAAACTACTGCTGCATGAACATTTTGCATTTCTGAGATCCAGGGATAATAAACATTCTTGTATAGAGTTGTTACTGCTATATGCGAGTTCAGCATAAAATATTCGATTGCTTGTTTATATCATGCATGTCAGATGTAGGTGAATGACAGATATAGCAATATTTAGGGTACTTTTCTGTTATTCGAACCGGATTCAGAAATGTACGTATGCATGCATATATTCAGAAATATGTATATGCATACATTTCAGAATCTTATATAAAAAAAGTATCGGGTTGAGTTCTCATATACTATTTATATCTCTATTAATAATATATAAAACACACTGTTTATATCTCCATCTATTAAATAATCCTTTTCTTGCATTCTATTGCATTCTGTATTTGGCTACTTAAAACTGCATAGCCTCAGAAAAGTAGCAGATTCTTTTATAAATCATTCAAAGAAATGATAAAACTATAACATCCAGTAATTTGAAATCTGAACTTATTTCGTAAAATGGTTCTGCCAAATCAACACAATCAGCCAGCTGAATCCTACAATTGCTTATTTGATCCTTTTCCATGGAAGACTAACCAAACTAATTAGTATGAAAAAAAATAACGTATTCTTTTCTTTACAAATTACTTTTAGGTATAGAACAATAAGTCTAAAAACCCTAAGACAATGAATATAAATAATAGAACATACACTAATTGAAAAGTATTTTTTAACATATACAAGAAAAATTATAGCAATTTAATTAGAAATAGTACATTTTTGTGCTGTAATTCCTGTTATGAACATCATTATTTTAATTTAGCAGACGAATTTAAAATCCAAATGATGGTGGTAGATCAAGAAACAGAATTTAATGAATGTGGTATAAAATGGAGAAATAAGTCTTACTTCTTGTATTAAAGAATAGCTAAGACACAGTCTCATTTAAGATGTGAAGTCTGCAATGAAGGAGGTATATTTTGTTATTAAAAGTAAGGGATTTTTATAATTATTATTATATTGTGGAATATTATTTAATTTATGCAGCTACACTATATTTTATTATTTTTGCATCTACAATTCAAATTATAGGAAACAAAAATATTTAATGCTTAAAATCAAACACCACTATTTTTATCATTTTATATATTTTATTTAATAGCAATATACAATTTTGAAATTTAAATACTTTATTTTATGTGATAAATAAATATTTATAATATTTGTGTCCACTTATTATACTTTCACAAGTTTTGATTATTCACTCTTAGGAATACAAGGTAGGAGGAGAGATTCTAAAAATTTTTAAGCACTCGGCAGGTTTCAAATTTAAAATATGTCATGACTGTATTATTTGTAACAACTTTTGTTCTATTAGTTAAACTGGAAATAGGATATACACATCTGAATACAAATATACATTGCACATTTTATGAAGTTACTGAAGATTACTGTAATTTAGTGATGCTTATAACAAATTTTATTTCTGTACAAAGGTTATAACAAATTTTTCAGTTAAAGTCTATTATAACAAAATTTATTTTACATAAAAAAGAATTTACAAATTCTGACAACATAGAAAAAAATATCAGGCATTGTAACAATTTTTTAACAAAATAATAATAATATATATGTATATATATGTGTATATATAAACATAAAGGAGATTCTTTGTTTTGAGATTACAAAAGAAATTATATGTCAGGTACAAAATGCTTTTAAAATAGCTATAAATTCAACAACTGCATATAAAAATCAGAATTAGAGAGGCATATTGGCATGTTTTTTCCATGGAGATTCCATCTTTTTTCGTTGCAGCAGATCTAAATCTCGACAAAGACGCATCCTAGTTGTGCTTGGATCAATAATGTCATCAACAAAACCTTCAGTGGAGGGAAAAAATACTATTAATACATGATAAAAATTTAATAATATATTAAATTTAATGTTAAAAACAATGAAAATGTTCTCAACATGAAAAAACAAAACTTTTAGTTTATTAAAGAAGTTATTTGTTTAATCACAAACAAATAAAAATTTATTTTTTAATTAAAAATTTAATTCTGCAGTGAATTAACACAGAAATATAAAATAACTTGGAATTTAGGTCAACTGGCTAAACTCCACATCAGGTTTGCCTAAGAGACCCCCTACGGCTTTTTACTCCTTTACCTTACAACCTCCTTCAGTTGTCACCTTTTATCAGATATATTTTTTAATAAGTAGCTAGATAGAACTGACAGAATAAGTATCCCAAATTCTTGTTTCTGATCTTGTTAAAAGACTCATAAAGTTAAAATATAAGTGAAAGACAATCACTATTAATACCATGATTTCCTCTTTATAATATAAATGTATCATTTGGTGTTCCAATAGGAGTTGCTAGATTAAAAACAACATGCATATCTAAAATTTTATTTTATTTAATAGAAAAAGTAATGCACATATTAGTTTTCTTTACTCTCAGAATTGTTTTGAAAATCACATCCAATTTCAGTACTTTTTGTAAATAATACACTTTAAACAAACAATACAACTATAACAAACCTCTGAATATGAAGTGTTGCATACATACAGGATTGTAATAGATTGAATGCACACAGGTCCAATGATAAGTTAAATTTAAATTTATTTTGTGAAAAGAAACAGTTCAAAGTTCTGAAATTTTCTGCAGAAATACTCGTACAAAGTATCACAGTGTACAATCAGTAGTTACACTTCAAACTACTAAAAACATTAAACACAACTGAATGTAAAATGTATCTAAAGTGGAAGCTAATCGAGAGATATCTCTGTTAATACAGAAAGCAGACACTTACATTTGTTCAATTACAATACCTATTACAGTGATACAGGGGACAGACCAAAAATGTTGCCAAATGGTTGCTAATTTTGGCTACTTATTTTGTCACCAAAACTGTTGTCAGCTTGGTGTCTCGCGCATTGTCATCTTGCCAAATTTCCAGATACCTATTTACTCAAATGTACTTGTCCCTGTATTCTTATATTTCCGGCATAGCTTGTCTCTTTTAGATTTTTTTATGTTACATTACACTGGAAAATACAACAATTTCAAATATAATTGCACTAAAATAATCTATTCTATGTACAAAATTTGTAACACATTTGAGTTCATTTTTCCATACTTAAAGTTATTTTACATTGCTATAACAAATCTCTAAAGGTATGGAAATCAGATATAACAAAATAAATTTTTTTTCAGAATTTCTGGAAGTTTTAATAAAAAAAATACTAAGCCTTCAAATCATTCACATTTAGGATGCAACATTTCATTCTTAAAGGAAAACATTTTAACATGACTTTTTTTTTTTAATGTTTGTTCCCACTTCCCTCTGTGTTCTGAAAAAAGGTATGCAAAATAAGTGTGACACCTAATCTAGAAGAGGACACAATAACCATATCTTAGGACACCAAATATCATTCTTTACGTATTGAACCAAAGAACGAGAATGAGTTTACTGACTCCATTCAAATTCTTTGAATTGTCAGACAGAGCTTGGGCTATACGGTTGATTCATCTTTTAGGGAATGAAATATTTTTATCTTTATTAGTATGTTTTGTTTGAGTATAAATGCTATTTAAGTTCTGTCCTCTAAATGGGCATTTTGTATTCTTCATATTTTCTTACAAGATATAATATATTCTTAACTTAAGTTATTGAATCTTTGCTTTGCAACCATATGCACATTAAGTAAATGTTAAAGGTAAATTTATCACTATTTTTAATTCATTTTCATACAAATATAAAAACATTATTTTATAGTTTTATTAATAAAGTAATTATTCACAGTTATAAATGTGTATTCACATTTATGCCAAATAATTTATTGCATAAAATTATTAAAGTAATAATTTATAATTGTATTGAAAATTGATATTTGATTCTTTATTCAATTCTTACATGATTATGTGAGACAATCTGCTTTTATGATACAACTGGATAAAGCTAACCGAACTTGAAATCAGTTCTTGAAATTAATTACAGCAGGGTTCGACAATATACTTCAAGTACAAAGTCCGAAATCCGGACGTCCATTATCGAAATGATCTAAAATCCGCACCTCTAAGCCACAAACATTTTTTTTTTGGGGGTATGCTTTATGCATGTGCATTTTATTTTTTCCTTCCATAATAAAACATGTGGAGATTTTCACTTAAAAATTCCGATTCTTAATTTCACTTAGGCACTAAATAAAATACCTTGTTATGAAAAAACAATCATGTAAGCAAGAATTTGCGAGATTAATAATTTGGCTCCGTAGCTGAGTGTCTGCTTGGCATACATTTCAAACCGAAACATTCACCTATTTTATATCCCTGACGCCGACCTGGCAAGTCATTATTTATTACATTTTGCTTTCATACCGCAAGTTTATCAATACATGACAACTTCAGTAATAACTCATGCAGTGATGTGTAAACTTTTTTTTTATATTAGTATTTGAATAACAAGAATATGGCAACCTTTTATGCTAACATTATGCTTGGCGATGATTATAGGTTTTTAAATGCTCTAAGAAATGTTGACGAGGAAAAATTCAAGAAATATTTTTTTTCATATGCTAAAAATAGATTTTGATAATGAAACTCATAGCCCAAAAGATTACATTTAGTGCTATTTTAATTAAGAATAACTGATATTTGGTTCACCATAAACACAGAAGTGGTCACAGAATATGTCGGTATCGAACGGCAGAATTTAGGGGAGACAATATTTTTTTAATTTGGGGAAGCACGAGCGGCAAATTTAAGGGATGAGAAGTTTTTATAATGCAAACTTTTCGCAATCAGAAAATATACACAACATCGAACATTTAAAGGAGTAACAATTTTCCCTGTTATATATCGTGCAAATAAAGGAGCATGGATGACTCAAGCATTAATGAATGAGTGGTTTGAAAATCATTTTATACCCGAGGATCGGCAATATTTTAATTCAGTTGGTTTACCTGATGACTCAAAAATAGTCCTGATTGTAGAGAACTATTCGGAAAGAAATGTAGAGAAGTGGTAATAAATGAAGTTGATAACAGAAGTTTTTCATTGCGATGACAATGCCCCAGTCATCCATCAATTAATGGACAGCGAAATCTGTAGTATGATTCTAAATCCAGAAAATACCGATAGTGAAGAAAGTGACAGAGAGGTTTTTGAAAACGAAAAAATTTCGATTGACAAGTTAGTCAGTATTCTTGACACAGCAATTACAGGATTTGAACAGTGGAACTTTGTAACTGAACAAGAAATTATGCCTGTTTCTATTATTAAAGAGAAAGTATTAGCACAAAAAATGAAGCAACTTAAACAAAATGAATATTAAGCTCTTTTTTGTAAATTTTGATACCCTTTAGATCATAATTGCTCTTTATTTCATAAATTACGATTTCATATTTTTTAATTGTATAATTTCTGCATGCCATCTTATCAGATTTAAATTGTTGATCTGATATCCAGAAAAATCCCAAATCCGGAACCGCTGAAGTCCTGATGAGTCTGGATTTCGGACTTTGTACCGTATTAGGAAGCAATATTATTTTTAAAAGGTTTACTCTGTTACACAGATGAGCAAAAGCAAAATTAAAAATAATAACCACTCACTTACAGAGATATTTTATTAATTTGGTACAGTGAACACTTTCTATCTATATATATATAACTAACCTCTGATTGCAGCTGAAAAAGGATTGGTGAATTTGTCTCCATATTCTTTTTCTCTCTCTAAAACATCTGCTTTGCCACGGAACAAAATAGATACAGCACCTTTAGCTCCCATCACAGCTATTTCTGCAGTAGGCCAAGCATAATTTATATCACCCCGTAAATGCTTCGAACTCATTACATCATATGCACCACCATAAGCCTAAAAGGTAAAATATTCAATGTTTCTTGTTGCATAATCTTGCAAATCTTTATTCATTGGATTACCAACTGTTAAATACACAAACATGCATGAAACAAACAAAAAATCAGCAATCTGAAAAATTAAGTTACAGTCTAACACCCTGAAGAAAAGTTTGCTGTTAAAACTTTAAAGAATTAAATGCCTAAAAAATTAAATTTACAAAAAATGATGCAAGGATTTCTTTGCTTTTCTTAAGTTGTACTAAGCAGTACACTTTTACAATACCAAAAGTCTTAACTATCATTTATTGTTAACAATATCTATTTATATCTTACTGGATTTCATCAAAAATGGATACATAACATAGCATCCTTAAAAATGTTAAAAAACTAGAAAAAACACTATTAAACAAAATTTACTTCAGATCATATCAACTTAAAATGATGTTAATATGCCAATATAAGAGATAGGCTTGGTCTGTTAATTTGACATTCATTGATGCATTACTTATTGTTAATGTCAAAACAGATTTTGATGTACCCAAGACATTATAAAATTAGTCACTTCAAAACTATAAATTGTGCATAAGACATTACAAGACTGCAATCAAAACAAGTTTAGACTAAAGAGTGCATTTATATACATAAGTTTTCTTTCTCACTCCCCTTCTTTTTTTAAATACAGCACAAATTTTTGTTCCTTTAATTTTTAAATGCTTCAATCTTGAATTTGATTCATAAGCAAAGGGTTAATTTGATGTGCTTTTCTTACATCTAGAATTTTACCCTAAGGAGATCAATTTAAGAAAATTAATTTTCATAAAAAGTGAACATTCACTTTCATACAATTCTGCAAAACAGAAATAATAGACTTTTATAACTCCAGAAAACTTCTCTTGTTGTGATGACTGGATTTAATTGTTACTCTGCAATGCATCTGAAACTGAATTAATGCTCCAAACCAGAAAAATTCTCAAAATAGGAAGAAAATAATAAAAATGTAAGAATGTTGAAATACATTTGAAAACATCAACCACTCATTATTCATTATATGAGGAAAAAACTCGTAATTGGCACTGATTAAATATCATGAAACTAAAATCAGAAACTGAAGAAAATAAATAAAAATTATATTAATAATATAATTCATATCTTTATCAGTTAACGTCAAATTTTATGGAAAAATACATGTTTCATATTATTCCTACAATTTAGATTATGTGAATTCTTAGGTATGTATATCTGTCTTCATAAGTTAAAAAATTCACTGAAAACATACAGCTCAAAACAAAAATTACATTATATAACATTTTAAACTGTTTTTGTATAATTTACCAAAAATAACAGAAAAGTTTTCTTTAAAAATTAATTCACAACAAATTGAATCATGAGAATTTAAAAAATATACAGTAAGTTAATTTAAAAAGACACATCATTACTTTTCTTGTTATGACAGTTATTTTTGGCACAGTTGCTTCAGCAAATGCATATAATAATTTTGCACCATGTCTAATAATTCCACCATATTCTTGAGCAGTTCCTAAAACATAAAATTATCCAAATTATAATAGAATTCTAGGCATATATTATAAAATTTCAGACATATATTACAAAATAATCATTGAAGTTATAACAGAATTCCAGGCATATGCATTTAATTTTTTTTTGTAAAACAATAATAATAAAAAAAAAAACTCCATTATATGTTTCGATATTTAATCAATCAGTATATTATTCTGTGTTACGTATTTGATATTAATATGTATTTCATGTATCAGTATAGTATTTGGTGGCCAATTAATGCATAACCTTTACTTATAATAAGGCTTGATAACAAAAAATCTCACATTTGTGTTTCATCAAGATAAATTTAAATAGAATAAGAATCATTTAAAATTTCAGACATAAAAACATTGAAAAAAAAGTTATACACATCCCAAAGAAATTACAATTTTCATTTTTATATATTTCCAGCAACAGAAATATAAGTATTTTGAATAGAATATTTTTTTAGAATATAAATATTACCTGGAAGAAATCCAGGAACATCAACAAATGTTATAATGGGAATGTTAAATGCATCACAGAAACGAACAAAACGGGCACCTTTGACTGATGCATTTATGTCCAGACAGCCTGTAATTAAGTAATAAACAATATTCAAAGTCTTAGAAAAATTACATAATACTAAATAAATTAAAAGCATATAGTTAAACATGAATTTTAAATTATGAATACTTAAAAATAATAGAATATTAGAAAATATTCATATTTGATTTTATAAAGGACACATTTTTTGTTTCCAACATACTATTTTTCACTCTTTCAATCTTATAACAGTTTTGAAATGGTAGAAAATAAAAAAAAAAAAAAAAAAAAAAAAAAAAATGTATTTTTTACAAATCTTCACCTAACTTAACCAATCGAAAACTATAATACTAGGGATTAACATGATTTACTAAAATCCTTCATCAGAAAATCATATTATTTGTCAATTTATTTAGACTCAAAACACTGATAGCTACGGGTTTGTTATGGAGAACCATTATAATGATTCTTTTGTATTTTGCAGCTCAGATTTAAGACAGAATTCATTTTTAGGTTCTACTCAGTTGTATTACTATTGTTTAAAGTCACAGGTTAGTTTGGCTGATTCGTTACCTTTTACATACAAGGGATGAAATTTCTTAGACAGAGAAAAACAAAAGGGATTGTTTTAATCACAGCAGCAAAACTTAGTTTTAAAGAATTATTTTCCAAAAAAAAAAAAAAAATTTTGTTTATTGCAATGACATAAACACATTAATTTAAATTTTGAAGCAGCAACAATATCCTGAAAAATGAAAGCAGTTCATAGATTCCTCTTCTCCCCCCTCTGGAAAAAAAGGGCTGGCTTTACAGCAGGGGTCTATAGTTGAAGGATCAATATCAGGAGGTCATGGGTAATGTGATTGGTTGTTGGTGTTGGCTGACATGGGAGGCAGATGTCAGTGATTGCATGTACATAGACCCAGAGCTTGTGAAAGAATGGAAGAGTTGTTGGCCTACCTCATCATTTGTTAGTCTTTTATGATGCTGATTCTTGACTATGTCATCATTGCAGATGTGGGACTACATAATAAGAACTTGTGCATCACTTTCACTCTGCCATGTTGTAACATGAAAAGGGTGACCATTGAATTGTAGATTTTCCAGGGCAGCCCCAGATTATAGCTTTGTGTCCCGTATGGGTAAGCATCCTGAAAAACATCCCAGAATTTACAATTAGTTTAAAGATCTATCAAAAATAATTTAGTTTCTATAGTACTTCCATGTACGGATCATATTATTTTTGTAAGGAACACATTGGTGGCCTAAAATGATTGCCATATGAATCATATTTTTATGTGTGAGGAGTGACATACCAATATGTCAAAATGGCCTCAGAGCGAGGATGGCATGGAACATTTCTACCAACCACCAAACTGACTCAGCCTATACTGCCACTGTGCATCAACCTTGTGGGAATAATGAACCATTAAGCTCAACTAGCATGTTTCTCATTATGTAGTCCCACATCTGCAATGGTGACATGGTCGGGAATTGGCATCTTAAGAAAGTAACAAATGATGAAGTAGGCCAATGTCTCTTCAATTCTCTCACAAGCTCTGGGACAAGGTACATGCATTTACTGACATCTGCCTCCCACGTCAGCCAATACCAACAACCAAACACATTACCCATGAACTCCTCATAACGATCCTTCAACTATGGACTCCTAATATATATATGTATCTAATCTACTAAATCAAGTGCTACTGAAAGAGTCAAGACAAGGGCAAAGCAAATGCTTCATTTGCCTCAAGTAAATAACTAGAACAGGTGTCAAATTAGCTAGGAAAATTTAGAAATTCATTTTTAAGAAAGAAATTCCAGTTATTAACTTTAAATTTTTGGAACACATTAAAAAGTATCAAGAGAATTTTATGTTATAAAACAATCTGGCTGAAGAAGGAGAAGAATTAATAAATTTTTTTCTCAAAACTGCTGATGTTTTTCAACACTATACATACTATTTTCTTGAATTAAAATTTATCATTGGAACTAATGTATTGAAGCTAATTTGCAACTTTAAACATGCCCTACTTTAAACTTTAAACATTTTGGAACAAATTAACATATATATATTTTTAATTGGCCGGACATATATAGGGGCGCACATTTATCTCTTTGCCTCAAGTAAAAAAATAAGTAAGCACAGCTAAGGCTACTGTTAAGTATTTTTAGAGGTTAAACAAATAAACTGTACTTTTAAAGTGTAATACTTTTTTTCAGTAAAATGACTAATTATCTGCATTTAAATTTTTCAGAATCCTTCAAAATGGCACACAAGAAATAAAAGGTTGTAAATTTAAGGACCATATAGCAAAAAAATTTTTTTTTTCATAAAGTGGATAAAAATTGATTCTAATGTTCCCTGCATTTGATACACTTCAACATTTTCAATAACTTAAGGTGGATGAAATGATGTTATGCAACATACTGAGTCCCAAAAACATAAGAAGGCAACTCAATCAATAGCATCTTCCCGTGGCTTCACACAATATTTTCACAAAAACATATTTGATGAGAAGGAATGACATCTTGCCCTAATTGAAGCAGTATTTCTATCTTACAAAGTCCCTTACAGGCATTTAGCTCTATTGACTGTGTAAAAGCATTAAAAAAAAAAAAAAAAAAAAAAAAATGTTGTGCACTTACAAAAATTAAGGAAATAGTTAAAGTACCCTTTGCAATTTCCAGTCTGGAAATCAAATTACAAAACACTCACTTTGTAACCATTTACACAGATACTTCAAACCACAAGCATCTAAAGTTGTTTCCATTCCTTATTAGATAATTTCCTAACAAAGATGGAGTTGAAGTTAAAATTCTAGATTTAATCACTCTTCCGAGAGAAACATTGGAAATACTCATCAATTATATTATTCATATGTTAGATTCAGACAATTTGAAAAATAAGTTGGTGGGATATTGTGCAGACAACACCAATTCAAATTTTGAAGTTTTCATAGAAAAGGAATAAATTTTATTAATTGTATTTTCTGGATTGAATAATCAATTAAATTACCCAATAACAAGTAGGCTGCACAACACACATTATCCACAATGCAGATCAAACTGCATCAGATTTGCATCCTGAAGATATTGAAATTTATAACATCTTTTATATTCACAAGGTTTGAAAAGTTTTGATTTAGTTTGGTTTGTTTGATTACAGCAAAGCACTTGAAAGCTCTCTGCCTAAGGAAAGGGATGCTTTTGTGGAGGACTTTTCCAGGGAAACTGGCTCGTATACATGTTATATATGGTTAGAAAGAACAGAAACACCCATACAGCCAGCCTATTCACAAGGATTCAAAACCAGGACTGAAATACCATTGTTCTGTGAATTTACTGCTTGGCCACTGGTAGGCCAGTTTGAAAAGGAAATATGAATGAATTTTGTTCTGATACAGAGGCAGAACTGAAACAAGAAGAAAAGCCGACATGCATTTTTTGCAAGAAAAATTACATTAGCAGCTATCGTGGTTGCGATGAATATTATAAGAAGTTTAAGAAAAAGCCTGCACTTCAAAAGCAGAAAAATTTTGTTAAAAGAATCGAAGATTTCCCTCAGTTTGCCATCTTAGACCTTTTCTTCACCTGTGTGCGGTGGTGCTTAGGCACCCATTAAAATTTCTTAAAAACATCGTGAGAGCCCACTGGGCAACTTGATTTAGTAGGCAATACCCTTTTGAGGTACGCACTATTTCTCTATATTGATGATGCTGATTCAGAGGCAGAATATAAGCTATTACTAGGAATATTCAAAATAAGATGGCTAGCTCTACTACCCACAGGCTGAAAAGTGTTACAGTTGTTTAATCCTTTTAAATCATACTTTCTTTCAGATCAAACCTTCATATTTTCATAAAATCTTTTTAAGTCTCGAATAGTTTAAAAAAATGTTTTTATGACAAAGCCAAATTTTGGTTTCAGTTCCTTCAAACACAAGTATTAGTGTTCATAATTCATTTAAAAGAATGGATGGAGAGAAAGGCACAACTGTCAGAATTTCAGAAGACATTAAGGATTTTATTTTTAGATTTTAAAAAGAATCTCTATAATTTAGAATATAAATAAAAATGGTAATATAGACCAAAAATGTTTTACTAATCAAATTATAAATTTTTAAGTGAACACACTTCCTTTTCTAGAATTATAGGGCAAATCTGAACCAAAATAGAAGAAATAATAGTTTTCATACAGAAATATTTACCTAAAAAGGAATATATGGCTTTGGAAAATGAATTATTTAACAAAATATCACATTTGGAAAAATATGTAAATTTTAAAAAGCTTCAACAATAGAATAATAAAGAAACAACCCCATATAAGCAGATTCAAATTTTAAATTATTTCAATGAAAATCATATTCTTTGTGCGCATCTCTGAAAAGATACAGAATTCCCATTTTTGCTTATCTGGTAGTAATGCAGCTACTGAAAGGGTGCTTTCTATTATAAATAATTTGTTGACAGCAGAAAATTGCCACTGAACTTTGATACCATGAAGGTAATGGTTTAGTGCAAAGTTGAATAAAATACTTGACAAGAGTTTAAAGAACAAACCGATAGAACCGAACAAACCAATACAATGAGCTACTTCAAAAAGGTTCATTGCATTCCAAAATACAACTAATCATTTGCCTAAATTAGTTATACTTAAATAACTTTTTACTGTATTTGTATATTTCATTTAAATTCACTTATTTATTTACTATTTTAAACGATGGGTGAGGGGGTCATTGCCCTGGTATTGTCTTGTGAATAAAATGGTCACTCTAAACATGAAACAAAGTTATGAAAATGGCGGCATTTTTGCTAAGCAATATAAATTGAGAAAAACACCATTGACAGATCTAAAAATGGTAGTTCTATCCCTTGGGGAAAAATCTAGATGCACGGAAATACTGCTGTCGTTTGTGAAAATGGGATGATAGGAATAAAGAGATATCATACATTTCTAAACTTTAAAAAAAAAAAAAAAAAAAAAAAAAAAAAAAAAAAACTTGAATTAGCCATTTCTTCACATAAATTAAGTGCAATGAAACACTTTCAGAAGGTAACGCAATGAAGAAGGAAAGCACAACATTTTCATTTTCTGAAAGCCTATTTTTTAGAAATTAGTTTAAGTCAGAATTAAGGAAAGCATCTTACATGAGGTATGAGAAACAAAAGTCTGATTTGGAATAATGATCCAAGATCATGACTTTTATTTTGTAATGATTATCTTTCAAGATAAATATAGACCAGGCATATTTACCTTTAAGGTTTGTATATGGACTATATGAAATAACTGAAAAGAGGATGTTTACATAGTTTTAAAATGAATTTGGGACTGTTTAACTAATGTTTAAAATGTAAAGAGTATTTTTTAAAAGTTCAATCTGATAGCCTTTTTTCTGTACTTTTAAGCCTGTCTTGTAATTTTCAGGATAGAAGGGCTTTTTATAAGATTTAAAGAAGCAGTGATATTCATTCCTCTTCCACTACTTTTCAGAGTCTATCAATCGTGGTAGTTTTATGCTAAGGAAATTCTCTTTTTAAGAGATTAAAGACACAATAGTTCATAGGCAAAATATCAAGGGGCTTCACTAGTATACATTGAAAAGGCATATTATGCAATACTTGTATCAGTCTTAAAATGAAGACTGATGCAGTTTATAAGGAATGCCCTTTTCAAAATAAGACTTGCTACTTTGTATTGATGAAGTTTCACACTTTGAAAGGATAAAGAAAGTGAATTTCTTCTGTAAATATCAGACATAAAACTTTGAGTTGTTTTTAACATTTTTTCCATTAAACTAACTGTGTCTTAATTTTCTCCATTCTTCTTAATTTTAATTTCGCACTGTAAGTGAATCCTGTGACAATCATAAATTCCTTACTGAAACTTTCTTGGGCTTTGATGAAACCAGGTTTCTCCCTTTTTTCTCTTCATTTTTGATGATAAATGAACCTCCTTTTGCTGCAGTCAGTTAGGTAATGCTTAATCAAAGCTCACAATATATTTCCATTTATGCCCTGCTAAATAGCTTTCATAAGGGATTCTACAAATTGTTCTGTGTAGAACCACATGCTGTGGCAAAAGGTGTTTCTTAGCTTTTCTAAGTTGTAAATCTTCGTTTATTATTTTATTTATTGTTGCTACAAATGTATTTAAAGACTTTGCAATAGATTTCTGCATCAGAAGATTTTCTGTTGCTACTAATGATTTAACTTTAGAAACATTACAAAGTATATATTTTTCCTGAAAATTGTTTGAAGTCTTCTCTCCATGAAAACAGTTTTTCCCTTTATAATTAATAATGTTGCTTATTTTACACTTAAAAAACTTTAATATCATGCATTTCACAATGTTTTTAAGTTATGGAAAAGAAACATTTTTCTTCAGAAAGTGAAGAAATGCATCTTTCAATCTACAGATTATTTACATGCAAATAAATTTAAAAGCAATAAATATTACATGCAATAAATTTAAAAGCAACAGACTACATTTCTCATTTCAAATAATAAGTTGCTGCCATAAATCCAAACTATTTGCTTTTTTAATTTTTTTTTATTGAAATTGTTCTAGAAATGTGTAAACACCCTCTACATTTATCCTCAAAAAAAAAAAAAAAAAAAAAAAAAAAAATTAAAGAGTGATCCTGACTTTGAAGATACATCAAGAAAAGCTGAAACTGAAACACATAAGCCCTATCAAACTTTGATGGTGACCTGCATACAAATGTTAGATGTATAAGTAAAAGCATAGAGAGCATTTTCATAAGGAAATATGCATACAGAAAATTAATTATAAAATAAAATGGAACCTCACAATTTTAATCAGTGACTGTAATAGCTTATGTATATAAATTCTTTTTGGTACTTTTCCATCATACACTTGCCACACTTAGTAGTGCACAGCAGGTGGTGATCATCTGCCGTGCAGTGTGTATGTAAGTGTATGTGTGTGCATCAGTTTATCTGTCTGTCATCTTTAAACTATTCTTATATTATAATTTACAATAAAAAAATTTTAAAATCCATGGCAAGTGCTTTGTGGAAAATTATCTCTTCTTAAATTTGGTTATTCAAAAACAATGTTCAATAAGAAAATTTACCAATGGTATTTGAAATCAGTACAACAATAGCAACAACAAAAATGTATTATAAAGCAACTGAACTTTCTTTAGAGGGCGTGCAAGGAGGAAAAAAACATTGTATTTTTTATTGTTCAGCATAACTAAGTTTTTTTTTTTTTCTTTTCATTCCTAGATATTTTCATTTCCATTCATTTATTTACAAGCATTAGAAACAAAATTATACAAGTTGCAATTTTTCTGATAAATATGCAGGATATTTCAAAATGTTTAGCTACATAAAATCTGAATTAAATGGAAGGTTGAACCAAAGCACTCACCAGCTGCATATTTGGGATTATTACCAACCATCCCAACAGTACGACCATTCATTCTAGCAAAACCAACCACAATGTTTTTGGCATAATTAGGCATGATTTCAAAGAAATCTCTTTCATCAGCAATCTTAAAAAAAAAAAAAAAAAAAAAAATCAAGTGAAATATAATAAATCTGAAAAACATAGAAAAATACCGTATTTGATGGCATATAAGACACACCCTTATTTAGAAGGCCACACACAAGGAAAAAAGTTTTAATAGTCTGCACGACAGCGCAGTACCAGAATAACTTAAAATAGTACGTATCAGCGCCAAGTACGTATCACTTTTCCGGTAAGTGGTGGACCGAAATGCCTTCCTGCTGCACTGTTTCCATGAACTTTGGCGTAATTTAACACTATAGTTTATACTGAATTGTATAGCTTAATCTCTTGTTTCCTTAGTCATATTTTAGGGTATATTTTAAACAAATAGTTTTAAGCACTGATACCGACATGTTTAACAGAGTAACATAGTAACACCATACTGTATGTCGGCTGAGTCAAAGAAAGTCTATGTAAAGAAGGAAAGGCTCCATAGACACAATGTGACCATCGAACCTGTTCGAACTTCGACATCAGCTTTGAGCTTTGGTGCTTTTGGGCGACAGATATTTCACACAAGTGCAAAATAATTATGGCAGATGTAGAAAAAGTTATGTGTGTCTAGACCTTTATCCGGGCTAAAAATAGCATTCAGCAATGAAAGTTAACCTGTGTCTAAGATGCAGGTAATTTTTTTTAGACCAAGTTTAGGAAAAAAAGTTCGTCTTATATGCTGTCAAATACGGTAATTAAAAATATTTAATATTTGCATAATTCACAGTATAAAATAAATCTGTTGAAAAACAAATATCTACCTTTTATTAATATTCCTTGAAAGAGTGCTAGTATAACACTGATTTCAAAATGTTACAGAAGCTCAAGGAAAGCATTTCTGAGAGACTTTATAAAAAAGTTAGAAAAATCAGAAGGAAAGAGGAAAACCAGTTAACTCATTTTATTAGGTGATATACATAATATGAAACTAACAATCCATAACAATCTATCTATTCACACACTGTGTGATGGCCCATAAAAATAAAACATTACAGACTATATACAAAATTAACAACAACACAAAAGTAACAGTATTACTACAAAAGATACGAGGGTTGGAACTTTAATAATGGCAACACAGCTGAAAAAACGCTACGCAACAAAACCAAAGAATATCGCGTATACCACACGTGAACTAATATCTATCTTACCTCTCAGCAAAAGACTCGTCCTGCTACGTCACGCATGCGGAGCGGAGTGACGCGAAGGACGGATCCTTGTATTAGCTTGCGGTCTCTAAAGTAAGTGTTGTCAGGATGTTTTCAAAACAAGAACAAACGATGTTGGATAAAAATTGAATGTTACCAGAGGTCGTACAGCACGACAGTGTCATCAAGGGCTTCAAGAGGCTTGTGGGGAATCTGCATTGCCTTACAGAACCATAGCAAGATGGGTGAAAGCATTCAATGAAGGACGCCAAAACGTGGCAGACATGCTGCAGCCAGGTCGTCCGAGTGTCAGCGATGCAGACGTGCAAGCTGTTGCTGCACTAATGGACAGTGATCGCCGCCAAACGATTCGTCAGCTGGCCGGACAAACAGGATTAGCACATACGACTGTGTTGCACATTCTGAAGGAACGCCTGTCCATGAGAAAAATTGCTTCACGATGGGTTCCACATCAGTTGATGGAATGATACGATGCTGCCTGAACCCACCTGGAGCGCTATGAGCACGAAGGAGATCTTTTTTACGCCGTATCATTACGCTGGATGAGACTTGGGTCCGATCGTACCAGCCAGAACTGAAATGCCAAACGAATGGCGTCCCCACGGTGTTCGAAATTTCATCAGAACCCCAGCAATGTGAAAGTTATGGTGATTCTCGTGTGCGACTGTGATGGTGTCATCCTAATGCATACCGTTCCCCAATAGCAGGCCATCACTGCGCAGTATTACTGCTCATTTTTGGATCACAATCTCCTACCAGCTTTGAGAAAAAAATGGCGACACTTTCTACAGAACGCTCCTCTCATTTTGCATGACAATGCTCAGCCGCATGCAGTGCAAGCTGTGACTGATTTGTTCAAGCGATGGGGCTGGGAAGTGCTTTACCATCCACCATACTCCCCAGATCTAAGCCCTTGTGACTATGACTTAATTCCTAAGATGAAGGAACGACTTCATGGCACTTGCTTCCAAACTGTTTCTGAGATTCTTGCGGCAGTAGATCGGTCCATTCAAACTATCAACAAAACAGGCGCTGCTACAGGTATTCTGCGACTTCCACATTGTTGGAAACAGGTTGTACACAATACTGGCGACTATATTGAAGGACTGTAAAACATGGTGACATGAATCGGTTTTGTATTCCTTGTAAATAAATAGTTGTCACTATTAAAGTTCCAACCCTTGTATAATATACTTTTGATGTTTTCATAACTAGTTTAATTTACACGTTTTAAAAACTCCGATTTATCAAAAGTGAAATTATTTTAAAATCTTTCATGATCTGGAAGTATTATATAAATGTTTAGAGAGTATCATATAAATATCTTTGTTCTCTGGAATTAATTAAACTTCTTAAAATCTTATTAAAATAGTCAGGCGAGATTTTACCCTGGCTGTAAAATCAACTACTGAAACTGAAGAATGTTTAAATAACCTTCTTCATTATTTAAAACCTTAAATTGAACAAATGCACAACCTTTGCTTACAATTTAATTTTTCACAACTTGTGATACCTCAGTAACAGAAAAGCGAATTTAAAATTTAAATTAATTCTGTGCTGAAGACTACAAAGTAAAGAGCTTAACAAGCCATGTTTCAAACTACTATGGGCATGATTACTTCAGTTAGCAAGATGGCTAATGCCCAGATAAGTTAGCAAAGCTGGGCGTGAGACACATATTGAGTTGAGCATTTTAAGAGGGAGCAAGAGCTACCTCTTAAACTTTTAAGAACTCTGGCAATTAAATACTCATTTATACCCTGGTCAGAACTATCGAAAAGAAAAAGTGACAGTATAGTTCCAAATCATAAGAGAATAGGTTAATTAACATAAAAGATACTTTACAGTTTTTTATGTACTACATTTGGCAAATAAAAAATACTAAAATTTGTATGCCTAAATGAAACAGCTAAGAAATCATCATTATTTTATTTTTTTTTCAATACCACATCATCATAAAATATTAGATGGGCAATATCCACTAACAATATCAGATAATTTTTGCACATAAAAATGTACAATAGCTATGCTTATATACATGAAACATTAAAATAATAAACTTAGCCTAATAAAAGTTAGGAAATTTTTTTACATCTCAGCAGAAACTGCTATCAAAACCTAAAGACACTTAATGCAGATTTAGGAAATGAAAATTTAATAAAATTTTATACATTTAAACTTTCAGATTAATTTTTAATGTATGAATGAAAACATTTATGATTACAGCATAAGTGTTAATGTACTATTTAACAGCCATTAAAATTTATGCCTAGAAGAAAAATGCTTTAATGACTTACCCCAAGAATAACATCCAACATATTATAGGCTGCTGTTGTTTCAAGAGGGATAACTGTATCCAAACTTTGAACAATTCTATCCCTGAAGTAAAAAATGACTTTAAAAATATTGCTGATAGCAGATTAATATACTGATCCCAGGGTCAGAGTTTCAAAAGAGGGCAAGTTTGAAACAGCCTAATCAATTTTTAAGAGCAAATTTTGATTAACTTCTTTAAAACCATAACATATTTCCTAATTTTTTAAAATTAAAATCCAGCAAATATTAGCTTTGAATCAAAAGGACGCTTTTCAGCAAGTCATTGTATCAAGACAGTCAAATAGATCTGTAGTTTGCATACTTTTAATAAAGTTAACATAAAATATACTTGTGTGGCTTAAATGCATGGGAAAACAAAACATTCCGCTTGCAAACATTATACATTAAGCAGATTTTTTCTCCTCCTGAAGAGAAGCTCATCTCAACATACAAATGACTGAAAAAATTAATTTTATGAACATGAAACAATACACCGTTTCCTGAGTGAAATATAAAATTAAAAAATTTACAAGATTTTCCTGCTTTTGTAAGAATATTTTATTAAAATTTTGTGCTTCTGTTATCAAGTTATTTTTAAAATTATATTTTTAAAACTAGACATAAAAATATACATTTTAATATATTCACAAATTTTTAACATGCACAAAGCTAAATACATACCGTGAGGTAATGTTTTTTTGGTTCAAAAAATTTGATAGTAAGTTTTCAGCCAATAAGCAGAATTAGGATCCTTACAACACATTTTTAGTATTTTCATGATGCTTGTCTATATCTGTGTGCAATGACTTTTTTTTTTCTTTTTTGCGTCCACAACAAATTTTATACCAGACTTCCAAAAAATTTCTGTCTTCTGCATTTAAACTTTTTGCATTCATATAACGAACTTACTAAATTACTTTGGGGTAAAATTGGACAACTGAAGTGTTACTTTATTTTAAGCCCACAAGAGCTTTTAATGAAAAATTATACTGAAATATAATCCAAAACTTTCAATTTTAGTATTTAAGACTTTTATATTAATGGGAACATCATCTTAGATTTTGGTTAAAGTGGATAAACTGAAATTGATTCTTTACATGTAATTCTGAACAGGTTTTCATGAAAAAGTATGTATTATTCTTATAAAAATAATACAGAAAATATAAATATTACAGCAATGGCAACATTCAACACTTTATTGGAAATTCTAAAGATATGTTACTTTTAAAGATTCTGCGATTTTGCTATTGAATTTTACGTGGGGTAAATGCCAATAGAGTGATGTTTAGAAAATAAAGCTAAAATGACAAAAAAAAAAAAAAAAAAAAAAGGTCATCATAATAAGAAAATTAAACAGTTTCTGAATGAAATATAATCCAAAATATCATATTAAAAACTTTTCCATTTATTGTAACAACAAACAAAATTTTGATTACGAATGATTAATTGGAAGTGATACTTTACTTAAAGCTCATTGCTATTTAAAATATGGAATTGGTGGGAGGTCAGGTACTGGCCATATCATAGTTTTATGCATTGAAAATGGTTTCAGCAATGATAAAAAAAGTCAATATTTAAATGAAAAAAAATCTGATTTACAGTACATGATTCATTTTCTTCTATTTGAAAACACTGTCAATTGACAGAAATGGAGAATGTCTCATAACACTGTGATATCAGAAGTTCAGGAAAGTGATTGAACATATTCCTTATAAAATATTAATTTTACAGTAATAGAGATCAAATAGTCTACTATGTAATAGATATCAGTGAAATAATTGCAGATTTACCAAGGATCATCACACTCTCGAATAGGAGGAGGATCAGTGCTGCTTAGAGGAAGAAAATTATAGAACTTTCTCAAATTGAGTAACGCATCCACATCATTTTCAAAAGCATTATGAGCAACACCTAAAGAGAAAAACAAATCAAACTTAAACCAATTGCATGAAAATATGAGAAAAAAGACAAGTTTTGAGAAAAACACAGAGCTCAATACAATACAATATCAATACAATTCAGCAGATAACATTTTAAAGTGCTACCCAAATAGGAAAGTGGTTAGTGACACTGACACCATACCGAAGAGCATGTGTTTGAATCCTGAAGAATACATGGATGTAAATTATCTTTTCCTTCATAGGAGGAAATGATGTCCCACCTATTAGGTGCCCCCATAATAAAAGGACCACCATGTCTGACCTTAGTAGTGGTCAATACCTATGATGGCTAGTGCCTTCCATCAAAAATAAAATAATAATAATAATAATAAAAAAAACTTTTTAAAAGTTATTTCTGTTTAAAGTTAAAATAATTCCAACATTAAATCTGAAGCAATTTCTACAGTGAATACTAGAAAGTGAAAAGAAACAATGTTAAATGCTAATATAAAATCTGCACCTGCAAGCACTATAACAAATAATTTAATATCTATAGATATGGAGGGGAAAAACTACCTGAAATTGTAGTATGTGTTTTCGCTCCCCCAAGTTCTTCTTGTGTTACATCTTCATTAGTTACTGCCTGTGAAAAATGCAAAATAATAATTATTCTTATTACAGGAATAAATTAAATCATTCAGTTTTCTGATTTAAAAAAAAAAAAAAACTTAAAAAACTGAATGCAAACAAATAGGATTAACCAAAGGCAAAGAAGTAACAACAAAAATTTCAGTCCTATTTTTTAAAAATTCTGATACTAATTCTGATAGTAATATTTGTAGCTAATAAAGGACAAAAATGATTAAGTACAAGCATGTATCAAGAGAACAGTTAAACAATAAACATGTTCTTCCCCTTCATTCATTCAAATTTAGTCACTAACAAAGTTTTATGATGCATAAATCAATTCATGGCAACTTGCATTAAGATTCATTGTCACTTCAATATATTTAATACATGATGTACCAAGAAAAGTATAAGGATTTTACGTACATACTTAAAGCTATTAAAAATTCATCATAATCTTCATGAAAGATCCAAAATTCCACAATAAAATAATGGAAAATTGATCATAAAGTTATTCAAGAAAAAACAAAGGCATAATAATAATCTATCAAAATTTTTAGCATCAGAAATGAATAACAAAGACTTAATTTATTTTTTAAATTTATTACACATTGCTTTTAAATATAGAGTTATCCAGTATTTTCTGATTATTCCCACTGTCCTAAAAAGGATTCACAAGGCAGCATGCTATGTTGCCAAAATAGGCAACCCATGACATCACCAAAATATAATTATGTGGCGACCCATATATGCAGCAGAGAGTGCCAATTTCCACCAAAAACAACATTTCCACTTCCAATTTTTTTTTTTTTTTTAATTGAAAGGTGTCACAATGAAACCATGGAGTTTTCCAACTGATGAAAAAGAAAGCATTGCATATCTTAAGAAATATGGTGTTTTCCCTAATAGTAGAGAATGCAAAAATTTGTATTCCATGAAGTTGTACTAATTAGATAGTCCAGTTTTTTTCACAATGCCAACTGAAAACAGATCGCTGTGTACGAGATAAACTGACAGTGTGCACAGTGATAAGCTGTATGCAAAGGCAAGTTTCTGCAATTCTCTGATTTTTTTCAAGGTAGAAGATATTGATGTGTACAAGGAAAGAACAGTGAACTTCCCTCCATAAGTGTTTTATTATGGATGATTCTTGCACTTTAAAGTTTGTTAAATGATTGTTATTATCAGCAATTCTTAGTGCGCTACCATTTAAAAAATGGCTGTTGTCTAACGAGACTTAGATTAGCAAAAAAAATTGAGTAGTCATCTATGATTGGTAATTTTTTTAGATGGAGGTATGGATAATCAGAAAATACTGACTATCCTTTTGGTTAAAGGTCAAAGTGGTAATGAATTATAGAAATATGAATTCTCAAAAACCAGATAAATTTTCTCTGCAAAAATTTCATTCCAATATTAGTAAATAATATTTTTGAAAAAGATTTAATCGTTTTTGTATCAATTCAAATAGGCCTTTTTTTTTTTCCACTTGAAAAGAAAAACTGCAACTGTAATCCAATCCATATTGGATACTGTTCTTGGAAATTCGTCAACTTTAATATCTACTATAGCTATTGGGTTTAACCACTTGTACTAAAAAGTCGAGATGCTTTTGTCTCAAACTGCGAATGATGTGAACACCACGTCGATAGGCATTTATCGCAAAAATGAAAATAACGTGGTGCAGATGTTGCCTAACAACGAGACTGTTTATTTCTCAAGTTACAGCTCTGGATTGCACTCGCAGACGTGGAGTGGCGTAAATGAGACACTTTACTGCTTGTTATATTGTAGCGCACGGCACTGCAACCGTGAAGTTTAGTCGTAGCGCATGTGGTTGAGCTTGGTCGCACTCACAAAATTAATGAACTACATTCACAACTTCCAAAAACTGCTGCCACATCATAAAATGCAGTTAAAGTTCATGACACTGTTTTTGAATATCATCAAATAAAAGTGTCTCACTGAAGATAGCATCTCATGAAAAAATAATTCTTATTTTGCAGGAAAAACTTGGCTTAAAAATGTTTTCTTTTACATGGTTCCTTATTTGCTCAATATAAACAAATGTGCATTTCAGCACAAATTTCAGGAATTCAAAGTTTAAATATGAATGAGAAATTTTTAAAAAGAATCTACCAGGTTTCAAGAGATGATACGATATCATGGATGAGACTTGGATTCATCATTATTTACCAGGAATGAAACTGCAATCAGAACAATAGTTCGGAGAAAATGGATGGCCTTTGCATTTTCCAAGTTCTGAAGAAGGCAAGACCATTCAGTTAACTACAAAGCTAATGGTATCAATTTCTTGGAATGAAAAAGACTCGCTTAATTATTTTGAAAAAAGAAAAACTGCTATTATGTAATATGGGAAAAACATCTAAAAATGATCAAGAAAAAGGTGCTGCTTCACCATGATATTATCTATGCTCATTTAGTGCATTCTTTAAAGATAACTTTTAAATCTGTATCTTTAATCTGTTAAGCTATATCTTTTCATATCTACCAGATCTGGCTCCCTCAGACTTCCATCTATTCCTAAATTTTAAAATGATTTTAGTTACAAAGAGATTCTGTCAAATGAAAGGTGATTGAGGCTGTAAACAGATATTTTGGAGAGCTTGAAAAAAGTCACTTCTACAAACAAAAGTTGCGAAAACAATGGGTCAAGTACATCGAGTTTCAAAAAGATTATGTTGATAAATAAAATAACAGTTGAAATAATTTATTTAATTACATTAATACTTCATTTTTCTTGTCTTTACAGGAAACTTTCAGTCTACTCCTGTAAGATAAGTTCAAGGTACAGAAATTTAATAAAACTATTAAACTCCTATATATTCAGTATTCTAATCAAAATTCCCGAATTTCACATTTTATCTCAATTAACTTGCATATAATAGAGGATAATTATACTCTGTTAACTTACTAATGTAGCTTGCAATCAAACAACTTGTAAATAACAGAAGGATGATAAAATTTCAGAATGGAATAGACACAGCAAAATGCACTTAAAACTATAAAAGTTGAAATGCTACATATACTTTTACTAAATAATTGACAGATTTTATTAGTTACTATAGACTAGTTTCAGTTCCAAAGATGTTAAGGTTATATATTTTTTATCAAATAATTTTAAAGATAACTCTGTTAAAAATAAATACAAAAATAAATGCATAAAAGCACAAAATATGAAATTGATTAAATTAATATACACAAAATATACCTAAAAACCAACAATCTTAAAAAAAAGGGGGTCAAATTTTTATAATTCTTACCTTTACAACTTCAGGTCCTGTAATGAACAAATATGAAGTATCCTATAAAACAGAAAGGAATAACTGAAATCCAAACTGCATAATGTACTGAAATTTAAATACACATGGACATTTTTCTTCAAAGCTTACCTTAACCATAAACACAAAATCTGTCAGAGCTGGAGAATAGACAGCTCCACCAGCACAAGGACCCATGATAACAGATATCTGAGGTACCACACCAGAGGCTAATACATTTCTCTGGAAGATATCAGCATATCCTGCAAGAGATTCCACTCCTTCTTGTATACGAGCACCACCAGAATCATTAATGCCGATGACAGGAGCTCCAACAAGAATAGCTTGGTCCATTATCTGAATAAAAATGAATAAATAAATATGGTTTAGAGTTCAAATTTAGTTTTAATATTTAAAAATTTAATATTCATGTTTTACTTCCTGGTTTATAGCTGCTCATATTTCATGCAAAAATATTTGTCACAAAAATTAATTTAATGTAAACTAAAATGAAAATGTTAATTATATAATTATATATATTAAAAACAAAAAACAAATGAATTATTTGCTTAAAATTAGTACTTCTAATACTAATATATTAATTGCTGTTAGACACTTCATTTGGGACCAAATGGCTACATTTTGCCTATAAAATTTATCTCCATGTTTCAAATAACTAAGGTTTATTTTAACTAACAAGTTATATCTTGTTAATTCCGACCTGTTACTTCAATTTTTAAAATCAGCTTTCACTAAAATGCAAATTGAACTGAGTTTAGATAGTAAGTGAATGAGTAATTTAGAGAAAGAGTTCTAGAATGCATTAGAAAAACAGTATATAATTTTTGAGTACATTCACATGGATGACAAGCCCAGTTCTTAATCACAGAAGATGCAGAGAGATGATGCTAAATCCATTAGCATTCGAAGATACAGCACATATTTAAATTTAGGTATTTTTAGCTACCTTGCAAATAATGGCGAGTAAGTTTTAAATTTTAATTGTACCATAAAAAGAGCTTTTAATTAACCTTAAAGGATTTATCTCTTGTCTGTATTCTTGGAATTCTAGATTTTTAGTTGCATGCAAAGAATTTGTCAGAAGCATAGGAAGTTTAGACAGGGTGTAATTTAACAGATGTAGACGTTTAACCTTGCTGTGATAAGGTCGCATAAAGGAAGAAGAAACTGAAGATTAATATGGACAAGGATGTCTCAAGAGCATAAGATGAATATTATTATTATTTAACTTCTGAATACATTTTCAATAGTTAAGTTGAATTAATTGTTTTAAAAATAATATTAACATGTTGGCATTGTTTCAAATGCAGGCTCGAGAGCCACTCAATTGCTGTTACACGTAAAATGTAGAGATATGGAAATTTTTTGGAAAAAAAGGAAGATAGGTTTTTCTCTTGTTGATTGTATGTAGACTTTTATTTTGGGCATTCAATAAAATCTTCATGCGGTGTTCCATCATTAGAATTTTTATTGGAGTTCAACACCCCACCGTTAAAGCATTAGCACCACACCACATTGCCAATATGACATAAACTTCTCTGAACCCACACTCAATCTTGTTCCATTTATGTTTCAGATTTGCTATGTATTGACGGATCTTTACGATTCACCAAATAATGGAAACTAAATGAAAAGAAAACAGTGGATGTATCCCAGCTTTCGTTTCAAAATGCTTAGATTTCACTAAAGACATAGTAGTCACTGGTGTTACAGTTGGTGTCCTGGCTTTATCGACTGTTTTTCATATTTTACACATCTATAGTGTATCTATTTTTTTGGTAACAAAAAATGTCTGGTTTTCTATCCTATAAGAAGTGAAAATTTTCACTCATTGTTTAAAGTTCATGTTTGACAATTCACATAAAATTCTATGATCCAGTTTAGAAACCTTTGCTACAGTTATAAAACTTTCCTTAAAGATGATTAACTGCAGTTGCTCAAATAGATCTCCTGTAGTTACACTGAAACGTTTCCCCCATTATATGCATGTATGAGAAACAGGCATTAGTTAAAGCACAACCATTGTGTAGAGAGAAAAACAGAAAATGTAAGAATTTTATCATGTTTTTTCTAAAAAAAGATTTGATACTTTCAGATTATCTGCACTCCATCCCAAAATATCACCGATTCATTGCTAACTAATTATTCATAAAGTTAATATGTGATTGACAACAGCAATTTACAAACTGGCAGTGCACTGAGAATTCCATGAAAGAGCTATCAATCAATAAAAACAAGAAGCAGCCATAATAAAACATTTATTTTTTTAAGAAGCCCCTTCTACATTTTTTTGCACTGTTCTCCCTATGTGCACATCGCTCTGTTTTTACTTATAAAAGCATAAAAAATTTGCACAAATTCAGTACTGCATACAAACTTGGCACTGCACACCAGCCATTATTAAGATCATCCAAGAACAATTGATATATTAGTCTTGAATTGCACAATTACCATAATGAATAATTTCATTTCTTTTTTACAGAACCTCACTGATGTATTGTTTTGCCCAATAATAAATGATGCAAAAGCTATAGCTATCTTCAAACAATTTCAGATCCACATTCTAACACTCTGATAGCAATTTTTCACATTTTCCATAAACTTTGATCATTTAAGAAGGACAGTTATATGGAATGCAGATTTTTGCATTCTCTGTTGTTGGGCAAATGCATACTTCTGAAGTAAATGTTTCATTTTTCATAAGATATCAAACTCCACAGTTGCATTACTATTCATTAAAAAAGAATAAAAAAATTATTCATTGCAAAAAAATAAAAGGAAATATACTGTTAATGTTTAAAAATAATGTTAATGCTAAAAGGAAAAAAACACCCACTTATAAGAAAAAACAAATTGGGAAGGTGCAACTCTGCACTCATTTGCTGCATATCCTTGGGTTATCACATAATGCATTTCAAAAACATAGTGTGTTGTCTCATGATTAATTTATAGGGGACTGTGAAACCAAAGATATTTCTAAATACCTTGCATTATGTATGAAAATATGTGATTTAATAACTAGAAAAAACATTAAAAAGAATTTTTTTTATTTGTTTCTAATAGTATAGTATTTTTAAAATACTTAATTACAAAGAAAAATGGTACAATGAATTAGCTTAATCGTAGAATAATAATTTGCTTATAATTACAATTTACATGCAAGCTTTTTAGTTTACAAAGTACAAAACGCATATTAGATGGAAAGGGAGTACTTGAACTAAAAATATGATTAAAATGAATTCAAAATTATAAGCACTTAAAGATCGACTTACTTTACATATTTTCTTTGCGTGAACAGATGAAAGACTGCCTCCAAACACAGTGAAATCCTAGAATTAATTACAATTCCTCAAAAATCATTAACGGCATGAATTATAGCTTAATCATAAATGATAAGATGTATATTTAACAATCACATCAAAAAGTCCATATTTAAAATTTTTTTTTCCTTACTGATAAACAAAATATGTTCATATATATATTGCCATTTTCCTAATTCATTAAATTCATTATTTAAGAACTATTATTCATTTTAATAACTATAAATAATAAAATAAAATTCGATCAGAGCTATGATACATTAAAACAAAACATAATTAAAACTTAAATAAGATTTGCTTCAACACAAGATGATTTTTAGCTAGCAATTAGTTTTTACTCTACACTTTTTACTAGCTCAAAATATACACTAATTAGCATACCTCATTATTAAAGTCTTAACGATTTTGCTAAGTTATTAATTTTTAAGAAATTCTCCAACAGTTTTGTTTTTTATAAAAAATATGTGATAACTACGTTATTTTCTACATATAATTTCATGCAAAATAAAAATGAATGTAATACTGATACATATATCTGAAATATTGCTAACATGCACATAGATATGAGAATCACAATAACAATATAGCTAAAAAATACCTTAAAATCCTTGTTCCTAATAAATGGAAGGAATAAAAAGAAAACAGTAAGCTTTATGAAATAAATAAAGAATTTAAAGCATGATACATTACTTTGGCAACTACAAAAATCAGTTTAAAATTGGATTTATTAACCCCAGTATCACAGTCATCACCCACAATCAAAATCACTGTCATAATAATTATCCAAAAATCAGAGCTAGTATCTAACTTGATACTTACACAAGTAAACTTACAAAAGTACTAATTTGATAATTACACAAGCAAACTTACAAAAAGTAACAGTTAAAACTCATAATTAGGACTTTTATGAATCTTAAAATATACTTCATTACAGAATTTTAAAATAAGTTATTAAACAATGCACTTTACATAGCTTACTCAGATATTAATGCAAAATGATCTCTTCTTTTCACTGTTAATTTACTTAAAATAGATAACTTTTCATCTCTTCATCCTTTTTTTTTTTTTTAAGAACATAATATCATGTAGAGGAAACATTGAGTGCATTTTAGTAACAATAAAAAACTTTAATATAGTACTTATATTTTTTAATAGTATAACATTTTTAAAGTATACTTTAATTATCAAGGAAAATAGTTATGATGAATTAACTACGAAGGGGAAAATAGTAGCAATGAAAATTAAAAGCAAACTTCACATATGGCCCAACACATTTTAAGTGAGACTAACTAGCAAATTCATAGTACAGTCAAAAGTTCTTTAATCCGGACGTCCATTAATCCGGGAATGATCTATAATCCGAACCTCAAAGCTAGTAACTTTCTGTGCATGCGTTAACGCATAATACCTTTACGCATGCGCGTTTAATGTATAACGGAGGTATAAGCTAAGCTAAAATTATCTAATAATCTATTTCAGTTAATGTTGCCGATTGCGTTGTTCCTTAATCTTCTAATTGGATACGGCTTATTATTTTTTGAAGACTGTTAGAGCAATTTTATAAAAGTAAGCTTGAACTTTCGATTACCGTATTTGACGGCATATAAGACACACCCTTATTTAGAAGGCCACACACATGTAGAAAAAGTTATGTGTGTCTAGACCTTTATCCGGGTTAAAAATAGCATTCAGTATTGAAAGTTAACCTGTGTCCTTCACGTATAAGACGAAGGTAACTTTTTGAGACCAAATTTAGGAAAAAAAGTGCATCTTATATGCCGTCAAATATGGTATGGTATGTCAAATAGAATTTCCAATTCTGGAGATGGCAAAGGATAGGATAACAAAATAACTGGTTCTGGAGATAACAAAAAATAATAACAAAGCGAAATCATTCGATGTCAATCAAACAAAAAGTAGAATTGCTGCAAAAAATGGATAAAGGCACAAAGAAAGTGACAGAGAGGTTAGTGAAAACGAAAAAAATTTCGATTGACAAGTTAGTCGGTTTTTCTTGGCACAGCAATTACAGGACTTGAACAAAAGTGGAAACTTTGTAAGCTGAAGAAGAAATTATGTCTGTTCTATAGAAATTAAAGAGAAAGTATTAGCACAAAAATCGAAGTAACATTAAACAACTTACAATTGAAAGAATTGTTTAATAAAGTAAACAAATAAATATTAAGCTTTTATTTTTGTAAATTTTTATACCCTTTAGATCATAATTGCTCTTTTTTCATAAATTATACTTTCATATTTTTAATTTTATAATTTCTGTATGCCATCTTACCAGATTTAAACTGATGATCTATAATCCGGAAAAACCGATAATCCAGGATCGCTGAAGTCCCGATGAGCCCGGATTAAAGACTTTTGACTGTATATCCAAGTTAAACAATTTAAATAACATTAAACAGTCAGTGCTCAAATTGCGCCAGAGCCCACCAGAGCCCGGCTACGGTGCTTCTCAATTTTTTAGAAAAATTACAATTTTAGCCAGAGCAATTGAGCCCTAAATAAGATGAGCTCCCGTACTTTTTTTTATAAAACTGAACCACAATTAAAAGGGGAAAAATTTAGAATTCCTAACATTTTAGTTTTAACAATAAGCAGACTTTGCAATACTCTATTTCCCTAGAAATATGAACTCATGAGAACATGAAATGTTCAAGTATAGTCCTCTCACTCACATGCGGAAACCTTTCCCGTTAAGAAGGGCAATAAATTTGGGATGAGTTTGTTTAGTAACGCCTCCCTAAATTTCTCACCATGCCATTGTATCTAGCATTGTATTGTTATCGATGGCTTACAGTTAGTTATCCTTGCGTATGAAGGAAAATTTGTGTTCTTAAATGTGCGTTAAGTGACACCGAGTACAATAAGAGTGAAATACTGAGATAAATTGCTTAAGCACGTGCCTATACACCGTCTTCCCACAGTATCCACTAAATGTAACCAAATACGGGGGGCGAAAAGTGTAACCAGCAACTTTACATTCATCCTTAGGAAGTCCGATTTAGGACTCACTATACCCCTGACACTCATCTGCCTGATGGCTACAATTTTCACCCTGGAATTTTCATCAGCTATACTTTAAATATATTTAATTTTTGTGATGATAAAAGAACTCCCCCCCCCCTACGATCAGAACTTAAATTGGGCCGGAACCCACTGGATCTCAACTCCAGTGATTCTTAGTTTTTGTAATAAATCATAATTCTAGCCGGAACGCACTGAAGCCCTGAATAAGAAGGCTTCTTTTATGTAACTGAATAATAATTTCAGTAGAAATTTTATCTTGAAAATTTTATTGAACAATAAAATAATTAAAAAATCATGTATTAAATTTCAATCTATCGCTTTACATTTTATTTAATTTAATTAGTTAATTACTTCAATAAAATTAATTAATATCTAATAATTATCAATTAAATTATAATTAGTTACTTATATAATAATTATTGAATTAAGTAACAATTTATAACCATTAATTAAATATCTATTAATTAATTTGATAATAATTAACTATTTAATTTTAAATTTATTAATGAGTTTAATAGTCATTTTATTTTATTTATTTATTCTTGTTCTTCTCTGCTGATGGTCTTCAATAGGGCTCCGGTACTTCTAATCTTAGAAATTAAGCCCTGTAAACAGTTACACTTTTGACTTTTAAAACTTACACAGATTTTTTATTTCATTAATGTATGCATATTATTTGAAATATTTCGATTGCTTAAATACCTTTATTTATTTACTGCCATTATCAATAGAGATCAGTTTAAAGAAAATAACTTATAGTGCTGATAAACTTGCACACAAATTACATTAAAGTCTATGTGGGGGGGGGGAGGGGGTTGACAATCAAAGTAGAAAAAGAAAACAGAAATTCCTTTTTTTTTTTTTTTTTCCTTTTTCTTTTAAAGCTGTGTTTCAAAATATTTTGTATTAAATACTAATTGTTTCTAAAATATACACATTATAACAAAACTTTAAGCAATTACATGCAGCATAAGATTAAATTTCTGTTATTTGCTTTCATTTGCTCAATGCTTTAGATACGATACTCTCTTTTGTTTTGCATGTAACTGAACAAATTTTTAAATAAAAGTACATATGTATGTGAATAAAAGTGCTTCTTTCATTTATTATTTACCTGACTGAAAACAAATGCTTTTCTGCCATGTATAAGACCATGACCTGTAACCACACTGTCTCCAGGATACTAAAATTAAAAGGGAAAAAATCAATTAAAAATTATAATAAATTAAATAATACATAATTTAATTACATTCACAATACATACACCCAAAGAATGGAGCTTTCTTTCCAGTTAACAATTTCTGCAGAATAATTGCTGACAATTCTTCACTATGCATTATTTAATGCCATATGTGTTGACAACATAGCTCTTTGGATCTTTTCTGCTGAAGGATAATATGCACCAAATAATTTTTTACATGAAGATATATGTCCAAATGTTGGCTGTTGTTAATTATGTTTTTATCTTCAATAACAATGTTCTTATTTTCAAAATAAACAATATCAATAAAAATGTTTTTGTTCTTGAATTCTATATTATTCCACATCATTGTTTGCTTACTAAATTAATAGCATTTTTCGACTTTGCACCTGAAACACTATTTGGTGGCTATATGTTATAACTGGCAAGTAAATTTTGGTAAGCATTTTGGTGCCAGTTCACACTAAGACCCAATGACAACACCATCTAGACATCAAACCTTTTGTTGGTGTTAGTGTATAATTTAACACATTTCATTGTAATTTAACACAATTAATACACTCGCGCAAAATGAATGGCAGGCGCATAACAGAAAAGTACTGCACTAAATATGCTAAGAAATTACATTTCTTATTTTTAGAAAACTTACTGCAGAAGAAATGAGCTGCTGATGAAAGTATGCTTTTTAACTGGAAATATCAAGCTCATACATAAAATCTTTTCAGATAAAATTTTTTGGTATACATTGCCCTACAACAGAAAGATCCAATGCCCCCTTTCAAGTTTTAACCTAGTTATGTAAACTTTAATATAACTTAGTAACACAGCAACTTATCTAAACTTTTTTTAATAACTTGTCTTCTGTAATGGCCTTGGCAAGACACGGAATGGCATTGATGCAATTTGGACTAAAAAATGTACGATTTGTTGCCAAATATTGTAAAGTTTCACAAAAATGAAACTGACTATGGTAAATGATTAGTCAGCAGTTTATTCATTATCTATAACAACACAAGTTATTTATTATAGACATATTTAATACAATTTTATGAGCAAATTATTTAAAATATCATAATTCCACAGAACATATTTAATATCCACATAATTTATTGTATCTTATACAATTAAATGATGAATTTATTTAAAATAACAACATTTATAAACATGCCAAAGATTTCTATTTACTATTAACATATCATAAAATTCTATTTATTTTATTTAATATAATTTTGGCAGCAATTTATTAAAAAAAAAAATACAGGAAGATTAATTTTTTAGAGATTCTGGCTGATCTTTGGAATATGGTAACTAGTAGTTTGGCGACATTTTGGAGGTGATAAAGGTTACTACCTAGGACTTTGGTAATAATGTGAGAAGTACTCAGTTCCGATTACGCATTATTTTGTGTGAGGGAAATGAGAGATCATGAGATATGTCATGTGACATTAATGGACGAATTACAGTTCTTTGATCGGAAAAGGGGGAAATCTGGAAATTTTGTATTTAGCTTTATTCTGTGTTGTGTGAAACAGTGTTGGTTAATTTTTGGATGCCATGGCTCTAACTAAAGTGAATTCGAAATGGGTATTTAGTGGGATTGAAAGGGGTAGTAACAAGTGTTTTTTTAAGGTTGTGCGAGATAGAAGTAAAGATGTTATTTATTTTACCTGGTACCTTGCTGTGAACTATAAGTATGATTTTAAAGATCCTGAAACAAGCGCACATATGCTTGCTTTTTATTTAGTGGAGGAAATAAGAAAAGTTTATCGGCCACTTAATCAAGATTCTGAAGAAGATTAGGTAAGTTAGTATTTTTAATTATTTGAGGATATTATTTTTATGCATTGTTCTAAATGTAAGGAGTAAATAAAGTAATATGGTATTATTGGAAAATTTTTATTAGCAATGATTTAGTTTAAAGTAATTAGGATTGTAAGCTAATTTGTTATTAATTTAATGTATGCGCTTATTTATATTTTAAGTAGTGTTTTTGAATTTAAATTATATTTAATTAAATGATAGTTATTTTGTGAATTATATGTTTGTAGGAATTTGGTATACGTTTCAGTGGAAGTAAACGTGCATGGAAATAATTTAAATATTTGACACTAAGTTTTGTAACCATTCGTAATGTTTGAGTATGAATTCGTTGGTGACGCTGATAATATAATAGTAATTTTAGGTAAAAGTTTTTGGATATTTTATTTATTATTATACGTGGAAATGTTCATTCTTGGATTGGAGTATATACTTTTTCGTGATCAGATAATTTCATATATGTGCTTTTTACCGAGTTTAAAGATTCACAAAATTTTCATGCATTTTCATGAAATTTTCTAATTTATGAGAAAAAAAGCATTGTACATGGATAGTGAAGAGTGTGCGCAATGCCATTTTTGTGCAATTCTGGGATTTTTTTTTTAAGTAAAAATAAGTCAACGTGTACATGTTTAGTGATATTTTAATTAAATGATAGTTTTTTGTGAATTTTATGTTTTGTAGGAATTTGGTATATGTTTCAGTTTGAAGTAAACGTACATGGAAATAATTTAAATATTGACACTAAGTATTTGTAACCACTTTGTAATGTTTGCGGTATGAATACGTTGGTGACGTTTATAATATAATAGATAATTTAGAGGTAAAAGTTTTTGGATATTTTATTATTTTATACGTGGAAATGGTTCATCCTTGGAAAGGGATATACTTTTTCGCGATCAGGTAATTTCATATATGTGCTTTTTACCGAGTTTAAAGATTCACAGAATTTTTTTGCATTTTCGTGCAAATTTTTGTAATTTATGAGAAAATAGCAGTGTAGATGGATAAAGTTAAGAGTGTGTGCAATGCCATTTTAGTGCAATTCTGGGATATTTTTTTTAAGTAAAAATAAGTCGACGTGTAAATGGTTTATGTGTATGTGCTATTCTGAAAAACGCGCAAAGAGTTTGCGATTGTGCACTTTTCCCCAATTTTGCAGTTAATATTTGTCATGATTGAGCAGTTTTGTTACATAAAATTTCTAGCATAAGTGTAATTCGGCTAGTAGATTGTTGGAAAAAGTGTTCAGTAAATAAAAAGAAAAGAAACATGTCTTTACTTCGTGAAGACAAAATGGCGGCGAAAAAAAAATAGAAGGTTGCTGTAGCAGAGTTGGTCGCCAAATTTTCGCCAAAAAATCGCCAAGTTACCATAATTCAAAGATCAACCCAGATTCTTTCTGGTGGCCACAGTTTAACAGTTGTTGCTAATAAATGCCTCAAAAAGAAGCTATCGTATATAGCTTCTTTTCCACCAATGAAAGATTGAAAATAGTAAGCATAATGAGTATTTTACAATGAAAAACTACTACATTGACATAATGCTGTTACACAAAGCCAGTAAGATCACTGAGTATTTGTCTCTTTAGTATGAGCAGATCAGTAATTGTTTCTTGCACATGTGCTAATCATTAAACCATTTATTTCTTGCTAATGCTGAAACAAACTAAATTAACTTTTTCACCTAGGCATTATAAAAGACAAGTATTCTTTTTAATTTTTTTTAAAGTAATTTTTTTAATATAATATTTTCAGTTTTAATATATGCATGCATGTATAATAAAGTCTAAAGCAAATAAAGGTACTTACATATTATCACAACCACCTTGGTGCAGTTTGGCAAACAATTACTTTTATTGTAAAAAATTACATATATACACATTACATGTTTTAATTGTATATCTATTTCAAAAGAAAAACACTAACTCTAGTTACAAATGGGTTTTTGTTTTTGCTGTGGCGGAAATTTGTAATGATCGCTTGGAGAAAGAATTCAAAGCACTGTTCCTTTAGAGATTTTACAATAAAATACTGTACTTCTGCTGAAATTTCACCTCTCTTTCTTCTATTATAGGATGATTTTCATATACAAATGTTGAACTGTTGGAATATATATATTAAAAAGAAAAGAAAAAAAAAAAAAAAAAAAAAAAAAAAAAAAAAAAAACAATGACATTGGAAACAGAATATTTGTCATGCACATGGTTACCTGAATAAGTTTTAAGTGTGTGGTTACTAGAGTTTAGCATATTCTGAAACTTTGGTAATTTTTACAAAGGTGGCTGTGATAATACATATGTACTAAAATAATATTAAAAAAGTACTACAAAACAATTACTTAAACTATATAAATTGAGGATCTTTTTTGTTAAGGACAAAATGTTGAAAACAATTGGTACTTTCTGGTTATCAAAGTAAAAAAGAACCTATACATGAATTAATACCATGCATAAATAACAGTACTAATAAAAACATTATGAGGGAAATGTTTATTTCACTCATTCTGTCAATATCAATGAGAAATATACCACTGGAACAATTTTTTCAGCACTAAAATAAATCAAAACCTGAATAAATATAAATAGCTAATAAATAAGACACAATAACACACCAAACAAATACTAATTCAGAAGTCAAACAACAAAAATCAGCGTTATATTTTCAAATTTTCACAGAACTAGTTTCGAGGGTTTTATTGAACCACCATCGGCAGCTGCAAAAGTGCAAATGAATGAGATAGGATATAATGATCAGATAAGATAAGAAAGTCTGGACAGAAAATAAGCTAGTGGCGCCATCTGTTGATGGAACCAGAACTAAAACATAATTTCTTTAAAGGCCGAAGGCAAAGATGGATTGGAATTAGGATGGTTAACAAGAAGAGAAAGATTTTTTTAAATGTGAAATGCCTCTAGAAAATCCAGTTCTCCAATGGAAGCTGTTTTTTGAATAATTTTGGCAGCAGAAAAATTGAAAGTGTGATTTTCGGACCAACAATGTTGGGCAACAGAAGACTTCTGTGTTTCCTTTTTTCTAACATATGCCTTATGTTCCTTGACACCAAATTTTAAGGCTATCTTAGTTTGGCCAATGTAAATTAAACCACACTGGCAAGGAATCCCATAAATACCCAAGGAATTCGTATCCAGAATGGGGTCTTCGAGTATGGAAGTCGGAATTTTATTGATGGGAGAATAAACGACCCGTAATATGGTTTACCATAAACCTTCATCGGTTTGCTTTCACCACACTTTAAATCATGTCATCCGACTAAACAAAAGTTAGCTTCATTTTATTCCTATGTTTTCCGTGCTCTTCAAGTTTGCTCCTCCAAACTATTCCTTGATGAAGAACTAAATTATTTAAAAGCAATAGCCATTGACAGGGGCTTTTCACCCAACATTATTAATCAAGCAGTTAAAAAATTCTCATCTCAACACACCAAAAGGCACACTCTTGTTATAGGAGATTGTAAGAATTCTGTTGTCAATTCCTTTCTTTGTTAAATTTAATTTTTTAGTTAAATTTCTGTAAAATTGCACGTATTTTTCACAAATTTAACTTTCAGTTGATTATATTTATTTCTCCTCATGAATAAAATTCCTAAGTTCCATACTCAAGGACCCCATTCCAGATATGAATTCCTGGGTTATTTACAGGATTCCTTTGCCAGTGTGGTTTAATTTACATTGGCCAAACTAAAAAGAGGTCTTAAAATTTCACTGTTCAAAGAAACATGAGGCATATGTTAGAAAAAAAAAAGGAAACACAGAAGTCCTCTTGTTGCCCAAGCATTGTTGGTCCAAAAATCACACTTTGAATTTTTTTTGCTGCCAAAATTATTCAAAAAACATCTTCTATTGGAGAACTTGGATTTCTAGAGGCATTTCACATTTAAAAAAATCTTTCTGTTCTAGTTAATGACCCTAATTCCAATCCATCTTTGCCTTTCGGCCTTTAAAGAAAATTAGTTTTAGTTCTGGTTCCATCAACAGATGGTGCCACTAGCTTATTTTCTGTCCAGACTTTCTTATCTTATCTGATCATTATATCCTATCTTGTTCATTTGCACTTTTGCAGCTGACGATGGTGGTTCGGTAAAACCATCAAAACTGGTTCTGTGAAAATTTGAAAATATAACGCTGATTTTTGTTGTTTGAGTTCTGAATTAGTATAACTGGATAATTAATTATATCTGAACATATACTACAATGTCATCTTTAGAAACAAAGTAAAACAGAATTATGATTACAATATAAACTGCTTTGTAATCATAATTAATTTTACAGCTTTCTAAAGATCTCCAGTCCTTGAAAATGATGAATTTTAACTTTTAGAAGGAACGTTTCAGTATTTTATATGCTAGGCAATATTCAGCAAAATTAATGGAACAAAATTTTGTTGAAAATTTGGTTAAGCAGCATGCTTTTTGTGGAAATTCAAGATATGCTCCTGAAGTAACTTCACGCATCTCTAAGCCCTTTACTCAATGAAATCGAACTTGAACTACTTACCTGTATCCAGTGGTAGAATACTTCACAATAATTCATATTTGAATGATTTTTCACAATTATGAGTGACATTAGAGAAGCATTTTGGAATCTAATCCAGCATTCTTTCTGAACTGTGCACTCACTAGTGCAAAATCGCAGTTCCTTGTACAGTCAAAAGTCGTTAATTCGGACACCCATAATCTGGAACTCAAAGCTATTTCTGCACATGCGCATAGGCATTTTATGCATGCATGCAAGACATTTACGACTGCGCAAGCGCAGAATACGTTTTCGCGTGCGCGTTTAATGTATAGCGGACGGTATACGCTAAAATTATCTAATTATCTACTTCAGTTAATGTTGATGATTGCGTTGTTCCTTAATCTTCGAATTGGATCCGGCTTATTATTTTTTGCAGACTGCAAGAGCAATTTTATAAAAGTAAGCTTGAACTTTCCATTATATCAAATAGAATTTCCGATGCTAGAGCTCCCAAAGGATCTAGAAAACGAAAGTATGTTTCAATGTCCATCAAATAAAAAACGAATTGCTACAAAAAATGGAAAAAGGCATATCCTTTATTTATCTAACCGTTCCGAAATCTGTTTATCAATTTCACGCTGCTCTGCGCCGGGGGAGGGGGGACGTGCGGCGCGCAATGAACTGGAAGTTGATCTGTCAGCACTATCGTTATCTTCAGGGCAGATGTTTTTATTTTATTTGGCTTATAATTCCTTACTAAATGTAGTATTTAATCTCGATGTACTCCGTCTTTGATATGATTAAATCAAATTCCTCGTCATTATAATATCACGAATACATCAATAGCTTTCTGGCTGCAATTTTCTAATTTCGCTACGCGTAAGGTATGCTTTACGCATGCGCGCGTTGAAAGAAATGTTTAATAAAGTAAACAAATAAATATTAAGCTTCTTTTTTTGTAAATTTTGATACCCCTTTAGATCATAATTGCTCATTATTTTATAAATTACGGTTTCATATTTAATTTTATAATTTCTGCATGCCATCTTACCAGATTTAAACCGATGATCTATAATCCGGAATCGCCGAAGTCACGACGAGTCCGGATTAAAGACTTTTGACTGTATTTTAAATATGAAACAAAATTTACAACTTAATTACATGCATATTTCTTATGCATAAAAGCTAAATATTCTTGAAAATTATTACTTCATATTTTATGGCTGTGATGATTATATATTTAACTATAGAAGCTAAAATTTAAATACTCCCATAAATACAAATTAATATGTGCAAACCTTTTCTTTTTCCATTCCAAAATCAGTACATGTATGTTCGGAAAACATGTCATATTCTACAAAGGTTCCAACATCCATCAACAAGTGAATTCGTTCACGAGCAGTCAGTTTCCCCTTTGAAAAATTAAAATATGTTAAATAATAAAATATCAACACTATTATTTATCTAGTAAAGTGCAGTATGCCATTAAATATGCAAAATGACTAATGAAAATGCAAGGTACAATCAAACCATTTCAATTCAAAGCCTATACTAGAGATTCTCAACCAAGGTGTGTGTGTGTGTGTGTGGGGGGGGACTTTACAGTTTCAGGGCGGTTTTCCTTGTAAAGGCTCTTTTCAGACCGTGGTATAAGTGTCATTAAGGCATAAAATGCGGAAATTCCGTTCACACCTGTGAGACAGGATCTATATTATCAGCCAATTATAGAAGCTAAATTTGCACATGCATGGATAGTGTTTACAGCTTTTCCGCTCAGTAGGTTTCACACGTTTGTTCTGATTGGCCGATTCTTATACCAAATCAGGATAGAGTTCAAAATTTCGAACTTTATGCCACAACCCCTAAAACAGATTTTGTGACATAGCACGGTTTGGTTACCTAGCAACAAAGCTCAGTTTAAACCAGTTATAACATTTTTACTACCATATGAACAGAGACTTATTTACCTGTTAAGTATTTAATTTTAGTTTATGAATACAAAAACATTTATTCAAATTTTGGTATTTATTAACATTTTCTGTATTTTTTCTTGTTTAGTTTATAAAACACATTAAAAATAATCTAAATCTAAATACACCTATATGTATTTTTTTTAGTTTGAGAAAAGAGGATGGGAATGATCATCTAGCAATAGCAAAAAGGGTGCATGGGACAAAAAAGATTGAGAAGCACTGGCTTATACAGTCTGACAGACTTCATTAATTTATACAAAACTGTTATTAATAAGGCTATTTGGCCATTACTTTGAACAACCATTTTTATGTCATTTTCTAAGAAGAAATGTGATCCATTCAGGGTCATTCTTCTGGAAACTCATCAGATCTCCGCTGACCATATGTTATTAGCCACAGCATGGGGAAAGTACCATACAACTATGTAGTTACATTTATTGTAAAAAGTATACAAGCTATCCAAGGCTGAATTAAATGAAATTTTCTGATTAAAATGAGGCACCAAAAAAATTTCCCACTGCCGTTTTTTTACCATACGCACGATGCAACTAAATCAAGACCGACAAAAAAAAAAACGAATGAAGAAAAAAATTGCAGTAAACAACCCAACCTTAAGTGTTTAAAGGTGTTAATCTGGCTCAGAAGCTGCCTCTTTGCCCAGTGTGTGGCCCAGATGTATCAAAGAACCTTAAATATAGCTAATGATAGTTTGGAAAAGAAGCTATCATAAAATACTGACATTTTCTTATAATAATAAGTTCCAGTTTTGAAAAGCTTCCTCATAACAACAGCCTCCATTTTGTACACAGCACAAAGATTATTGATAAATTAAGGATGTAAACTATCTTCGAAAACCCAGCACTCCTAACAACAATCATTTGTATTTTGCTCATGACGAGAAGAGTTCTGATTTAAGAACACATTATCATATTTTCTTTCTTTTCATATAAATGTTAACAATTCACAATCAGTCACAATTTTCTTATCAAAAGACAAGTTCTGAGTATTCCACATCCTAATGTATTTTCTTAAAAAAAATTTGATTTACCATGAAATGAGGGACATGCAGTTATATATTTACTATTGGGCAAAGACACTGCTGTTGATTAAGTAGTGGAGAAACAATTCAGCTTTATATATAAATATATACGAAAATACAACTATTAACTGGAATAGTTTTATGTATTCTCTGAATATAATCTGACAATCAAATAAGCAAATAGGTTACCATGAAAAAATCATGAATATAAATAAAAATCTGTTTGCATGGGAAAAAAAAGGTTAATCTTTGGATTATGGTAACTTGGCGATTTTTTGGCGACCAACCCTGCTACAGCAACCTGCTAGTTTTTGTTTGGATGCCATTTTTTTTTCCTCGAAGTAAAGGCATTTTTTTTTTTTAACTCAACATTTTTTTTTTTACAATCTGCTAGCCAAATTAGCTTATGCTAGGGGAACAAAAGTGCTTTCATGACGAAGATTAGGTGCAAAATTGGGAGAAAGTGCAAATCACAAACTGCTTGCTGCGTTTTTTAAGAATTGCACATATACGGTATCATCCTGTACACGTCGACCTATTTTCACTTAAAAAAATTTCCGAATTGCACAAAAAATGCATTGTGCCACTCTTGACTTATCCATGTACCTGCTAAAGTCCTAGCTAGTAACCTTTATCGCCTTACCAAAAGTCCCAAACTACCTGTTACCATATTCCAAAGATTAGCCAAAAAAAAAAAAAAAGATGGCAGGATTCTTTCACAAAACTGAATATTTGGCTAGTTACACCAAGAAACTGGTAAATTGAATAGTTCGGGTTTTAAGTACAAAAGAAATTACACTCATTTGCAAAAACTGTCAACCACATACGAGAGGAATCAAAGACTGATTCAGACTGTTGTCAAGCATGTAAAACAGGAACTGTAAAAAGCAGCTTATATTTTCCTGGGAAGCATAAATTTCATTTCATTGATCCAACAACAGCTATTCATAAACAAAATGTTGAAAGACTGTGGTGGTATGCTAACTGGCAGAATCAATGAGACGGTCTGCCTTTATCATCAGTCTAGCCATGTGGAGCTCATGTTAATGAAATCTTTGGGACAAGAAAATGCTTCTGAGATTATAAAAGCAGTTTTGAAAACATGGCAGCCACAAAGTGTGTGTAAAAAATTACATGAACTTGGCGTTAAAGAAAACGAGCCATAATAATAAAGAAGCACCAAAAAATTCACAATATTTTGCTTTGGATAAGTACTTCTACTACTCATATGGCATAGCCATTATGCACATTAATCCTATCTATGCTGAGGCAGAATATATTTTACTCTGCTATTAGCTCCTAGATCAGACAAAGACAAAGAAAATATTTTATGATCTTGAAGTCTCTGTAACTCACATTTATTACATTCTGGAAGCAAAACATGCTGGAACAAACAGTACAAACTGAGTGACATAGTTTTAGGAATGAAGAATCTTATTCTGCAGCAAAGTTCTTTCACTTTATAAAGCTTTTTGGTGCTTTCACTTAAGCTTTTATAAAGAGATGTTCTATTTGCCAAGAATAAACAGAGGACATAAAGTGACATTTAAATTAGTTTCAATAAAATGAAACCAAGTAATTCTTAACTCTTTTGCAAATTTTTAGAAAGTGATCACAAAAACATCTTCTATTTGACAACAAGATATGTTATGCAAAGTGACTTATACAAAGGATATCGTCATTTTTTTGTATGACAATTATCCAGGGACGTAGCTAGAGGGGGGCAAGGGGGGACATCTGTCTCCAGGCACAGAATTCAAAAGGCGCCAAACTGATGTTAAGACATTTTAGAATTAAAAATGTTTTCCATCCTTGGCTAGCAGTAGGGGATGCGAAATCTTCAGTTGTCCCTGGGCGCTGAAAACCCTAGCTACGACTCTGCAATTATCAAATTAGAAATATATTTACACATAGAAAGAGTGAATATATAAGCAGACTATTCAATTATACTTTCCAGAAGTAAAATGAGCTGGATAAAGGTCTGCTGAGTAAATAATAATATTTTGTACAGTTCTTGATAAGCTTTAAGAAACATGTTTCTATTTTTAATAAAAAAGAAGCTCTATCTGAGTTTGAATGTTCTGAAAAGCTATTTTATCAGTCTTCATAACTCTGATGAAATACCTTTTTCCAGAACATTTAGACCAGTGTTTCTCAAATTTTTCTAATTGTGGAACACTTTTTAATTCTAAAATTTTCAAGGGTCACTAAAGTAATTTTGGGGTTTTAATTGCAATAAATGATAATACAGATATATAAGGTAAAGAAAAAAAATAAACATTTATTCCAATTTTTATATCATAATTATAAAAGAAATGTTTTTCAACCTATAATTTTATGAAAAATGAGACAAACTCACTAGGTGAAGCAAAAAAACATTAAAATAAAATTAAAACTTTTAGTTTTCAACCACTCTGATGTGTTTGAGTTCTTGAATTGCAAATTCTTTTATTGTAAATTGTCATGCACATTGTTAGAAATCTGACTTCTTATATCAGATGCAGTATCAAATCGGTTCCTATGTACTTGGACTTTGTTGCAGCATAATGTGAAAAACCAGCTTTGCACAGATATGTTAGAACAAAAGGAAGTAAAATTTGTTTTTCTCTTTAAATTTCTTTTAAGAGTTGTTTTAAATTGTGTTATATAAACATCGTTTTGTTCTCAGTTTTATAATTTTTCCTGGAATACAGTCTGAGAAATGCAAATTTAGGCAATGAGATTCTGCATTTGAGATTTTTTTCTCTCGTGAAAGATTTCAGTTTTACAGATTTCTAATGAAAAAGGGGGATGTACAACTATCCTGAGTTTAAATCCAATTTCAAGGAAAATCTTTTATAAAGCACAGAATAACTGGGTTTTCTGTTGTTAACTGTGGCCTCAAATTTATGTTCCATTATTCAATACTTTATTTATAAAAGAAGAAAAAAATGGCTAAAATTAAAGCTGGAAAAGCAAGTTGAGACTTCTCCAGACATTTTAATATTCAAATAGTATTGTCTTAGTTTATCTTTCACTTATCAATTTTTATTACAGACATTTTTCCTATTGATTAAAATCTGCCTCGCAATATTTCTGATAGTGATAGAAGGTTCTGAAAGCTAACTAAGGAAATTTTATTGGAATTTTAGTCCTGATCGGGGGGGGGGGATGTGATGCAAGTTTAATGACTACTGCACTAAATGAAAAACACTAATATTCCCATCAAAATCAGCCAAAAATTATAAAATCATATTCAGAAGGAGAAATCTGAAAACATTAGAATATATTTCTTCCCCACCAGAATACAGAATTCTGATAAGTAGAGGACATATTAAAAAAACACACACATATATATCATTATTTATTATCAAAAGCATTGCATTTTACTATTAAAAAAAAAACTCAGTCATCCTTTTTCTCTAAGTTAAAACTCCGAAAGATTTATTCATTTTTTTTTTCATTACAATTAAAGTATCAAATGCTAGTATCGTTCCATGCAATACCTTTTATGCTGAGCTTCAATTCGTTTAGGCCCCACACCAAAAAATAGCTTTCTTTATTCTTTCTTCGATTTCATTTTTAACGCTTAATGTATGAGCAATACCACTTGAAGACATACGGCAAGAACTAAGGTTAAAATCATATAGCCATTTAGGTAGATTTCTACCAAATTTCACAACGCGTAGAGACATTTTTACGCCTTTTAATAAACTTTTAAACCAGGAAGGATACCTAGCCTTTCAAAACAGAAAAATAGATGTCAATAATTGTTACTGATAGCTAAGAAAAGAAAGGCAGAAGTTTAATTTATAATTAACATTTATTTTAAATTTACTAGATTACAACAGCTCACGTTTACGGATCTGCGGCAACGGCCGCACCCGTCACATAAACAAACTTATCTAAATAAATACTTTATCTGGCAAATAAACAAACAAAAAAGTTTACGTCCTTTATATCATGTAGTCTTTCTGCTCGATATGCGTATTAAAGGCGTGTAAAATATGTTTATTTCTACTAAAATTAATTATAGTCCTAAATATTATTTATTAAAATTATTCAAAGAGATTCGTTATAATTCTGTTCTTATAACTTTTGTTCTAATACTTTCTCATTTGATTACGGTGCTAACCAAAGAAGAACTATAACCAAAGAAGTTCCTTTCTATTTGTTTATGTTTTGCGGGTTTATTTGAGGGTTTAAAAATATGAATTAGCTTTTTGTTTTGAAGACGTGAAGTGGAAATTACTGTACTATAAATTTAAGATTTATAATTATTTTATCTGTCCTTAAAATGTCAAATTTTAAGCGCGGAGATTTGATATTTTTATCAAAACCCTATGTCTATGTGCTCAACAATAACCAAAGAGGCAAACGTTGTGATCATTGTTTCCTGAAGTAAGTTCATAATGCTGATTCTTTTGCATGAAGATTTTTTTTTTATCAATTAACATATTTTCTTGACGCGCATATAGCATATCACTTCTGGAAAGAGTCTGAAAATGAGTTAATCTTTAGGAAAAGATGTTCCGGTGATTTTGACCATGAAATTTAATGAATCACTCAGAAATGTGACTAGTAAAAAAGTCATCAACCAGAAACTTGCTTTAAATAGGTTTTCAGTCAGCATTTATTAATTAATATATTTCTTCCCCACCAGAATACAGAATTCTGATAATTAGAGGACATATTAAAAAAACACACACATATATATCATTATTTATTATCAAAAGCATTGCATTTTACTATTAAAAAAAAAACTCAGTCATCCTTTTTCTCTAAGTTAAAACTCCGAAAGATTTATTCATTTTTTTTTTTCATTACAATTAAAGTATCAAATGCTAGTATCGTTCCATGCAATACCTTTTTATGCTGAGCTTCAATTCGTTTAGGCCCACCACCAAAAATAGCTTTCTTTCTTCTTTCTTCGATTTCATTTTTAACGCTTAATGTATGAGCAATACCACTTGAAGACATACGGCAAGAACTAAGGTTAAAATCATATAGCCATTTAGGTAGATTTCTACCAAATTTCACAACGCGTAGAGACATTTTTACGCCTTTTAATAAACTTTTAAACCAGGAAGGATACCTAGCCTTTCAAAACAGAAAACATTAAAGTTGCTTGTTAACTGTGCTAGGCAGCTGGGTAATTAATTATAAGATGTGAAGTCAGAAGGATTAAAAAGAAATCTAAGAAGGTAAATGTAGCTTAAGTTAGCTGTGCAAATATTAGTCAGATACGAAGGAATACAAATTCTAGAAAGAAATTAAACATAGCTGTATAATCATAGGTAATATTTTTTAAGGCCTTATTTGGTATCATTTTGTACTTTTTAGTTTATTTATAATCTCTTTTTGGGGAGGGGGACAGGGTCATATTCAGTATTTTGTTGTTGTTTTCAGTTTGATAAAACGTAAGTTTTGGTATTATTTGATTTGTGTAGTGATATGTGATTAAAAAAGTGATCTCTAAAAATTATCTCCCTCAACTTATCTACTTTTCCACGTTTGTCTTTTTGGGAGTTATTGTTTCAGTATGGTTACTAAAGAATTTTTAGACTGAAGACGAAAAAGAAAAAAAATGCTCTGTGTGCAAATACGTAGTCAAAGTGCTATTATAAATTCTGTATGCTGGTACAGATGTTGATTATACAAGTGAAGCCTGCTGACTGAAGCCGAAATGGAAAATGATTGCTCACAGTTCCTCTGTGAAAGACAGAGAATCATCAGCTCTTATAATTTAGTTTAAAATAACATGATTGTTGGAGAAGTCAAATGTCAAGAATCAGCATAATATTTGTAGGTTTTGGAGGTCTAGTTTTCATGATTTAACTGCAGAACCATCCTCCTCAGCTGCCTAAGTGCGAATGCATTAGGTGCATTTGCACGTGTAGAGAAGATGGATGATTCCTTTTCAAGATGGGCCCACCAGCGGCCGAGTAGTAAAGACGCTGAACACTGGTAGTTTGGTCCGAGGTTCGAATTCCGCGAACGGTCTGACTGCATGGGCATTTTCGTGGTTTTCCCTGTGTGTAACGTGTATACGAGCCAGTTCCCTTAGAAAGTCGTCCATTAAGGTATCCCTCCCTTTAGGCAGATAGCCCTCATGTTCTTTGCCATAATTGAATAATCCAATCCAATCCTTTTCAAGACACTCCCTTGAAAAGTAATGGGTGGTCAAAAAGTACTGTATACAGAAATACTAGAAAGTATTTGCATTGTGTCGTGCACTTAACCAAGAAGTGCAGTAAAGCATAAGTAATCTGTTTTGTTTTTCAAGGTTGATTTGCAAAATGCAAATTGTATTAAATTATGATTATCTTCACCTGTTTACTGACACCTGTTACTCACAAGTCATCGGCTAATCTTTGAAATATGGTAACAGGTAGTTTGCCGACAGGTAGTAAGGCGATAAAGGTTACTAGCTAGGACTTTAGCATGTACATGATAAAGTCAAGTGTGCAGAATGCCATTTTGTGCAATTCGGGCTGTTTTTTTAGTGAAAAGAGGTCGATGTGTACATGGATGATACTGTTATGTGCAATTCTAAAAATTGGCAATCAGTGGCGATTCTGCACTTCCTCCCATTTCACACCTAATCTCGTCATGATTAGCACTTTTGTTCCATAAAAGTTCTAAAAATTTGTAGTAAAAAAAAAAAAAAACATGCCTTTACTTCGTGAAACAAAATGTGTCCAAAAAAAAAAAAAAAAAAAAACAAATAGCAGTTCTGTAGCGGGTTGGTCACCAATTTCACCAAAAATCGCCAAGTTACCATAATCTGAAGATTAACAAAGTCATCAACTCATTGCCAACTAATTTTTGTCTAAGTAATACAGTCAAAGTCGTTAATCGGACTCGTCGGGACTGTCGGGCGATCCGGATTACGATTTTTCCGGATTATAGATCATCAGTTTAAATCTGGTAAGATGGCATGCAGAAATTACAAAATTAAAAATATGAAACCGTAATTTATGAAATAAGAACAATTATGATCTAAAGGGTATCAAAATTTACAAAAAGGAAAAAGCTTAATATTTATTGTTTACTTTATTAAACATTTCTTTCAATGTAAGTTGTTTAAGTTGCTTCGTTTCATGTGATAATACTTTCTCTTTAATTCTATTAAACAGACATAATTTCTTGTTTAGTTACAAAGTTCCGCTGGTTCAAGTCCTATAATTGCTGTGCCGAGAATACCGACTAATTGTCAATCGAAATGTTTCGTTTTCAATAACCCTCTGTCACTTTCTTCACTATCGGAAGCGAATTATAATGACGAGGAACTTGATTTAAATCATATCAAAGACGGAGTACATCGAGATGAAATACTACATTTAGTAAGGAATTATAAGCCAAATAAAATAAAAACATCTGCCCTGAAGATAAGGATAGTGCTGACAGATCAACTTCCAATTCATTGCGCGCCCGCGTTTTCTCCCCCCCCCCGCAGAGCAGCGTGAAATTGATAAACAATTTCGGATTTCAAAAAAACTTTCGCTTTGTAGATCCTTTACATTAGTAAATATATAGGAAATTCTATTTGACATAATTGAAAGTCAATAGAACTTACTTTTATAAAATTGCTCTAACAGTCTGCAAAAAATAATAAGCCGGATCCAATTTGAAGATTAAGGAACAATGCAATCTGCAACATTAACTGAATTAGATAATTTTAGCTTAGCTTATACCCTCCGTTATACATTAAACGCGCATGCGTAAACGTATTATGCGCTTGCGCACACACAAATTCGCAGCCGTAAAGGTCTTACGCGCATGCGAAACGCATAGACGTCGTACCGCGTCACGCATAGGCGTTATGCGCGTAATGCATAGGCGACGTACGTTAATGCGATGCATGCGCAGAAAGTTTGTAGCTTTGAGGTACGGATTATAGATCATTCCGTATTATGGGTGTCCGAATTAACGACTTTTGACTGTATACAAAAGACAACAGCAGTTTTCCAAATGGCAGTGCACTGAGAATTCCAGGAAAAAGCAATCAATCAATAAATGAAAGAAAGCAGGAAACATCCATATTAAAATTCTTACCTTTTTCAAGAAATCCTTGTGTAATTTTGTTTTTGCTATGCTCTTTCCAAGTACTCACTCGTTTACCAGAGAATATGTTTTCACTTAAAAAGTCATCTGAGAATTGCAGAAGTTTGGCATTGTATGCAAACTTGGCATTGCACAGGGGCAGTACCTAGAAACAGCTTATATGCTAGTCTTTGTAATTGTATTTGGGGATAATTCCAGTTTTTCTTACAAAACTTTACTTTTTATATTCTTTTGTCCATCAATAAAGAAATGAATACTCTTGTAAATGAGATATGGCTATCTCCGAAACAGTTTTTGACTCACATTCTAATACTCTGCTTGTAGTTTTTCACATCGCAATAAAATTTGATAATTTAAGTACAACTTTATGGAATGAGAATTTTCGTATTCTCAACAGTTGGGTAAAATGATATATTTCTAAAGAAATAACGCACTTTCTTTTTCATTAGACAGCAAACACCACCGTACCATTATGATTCAATCTAAAAAATAAAAAAATGTACACAGTGCAGAAACACGAAAAAGAAAATGCACTTGATGCAAAAAGACAAGTGCTAATCAGAAAAAAGACAATCTAATGTAGAAGGTGGAAATCCTTTTCCACTGAACTGTCATTACAATGTCGTCTGCTGTGCACACGTGCACATAACAACATAATTACATTTTGACGGTATTATGGGTTGCCACAAAACTATTTGTGTGACATAGTGGTGATGCAAAAATATTTTGGCCGTATGAATACTTTTAAGGGGATGGTGCTCAGAAAATCAGAAATAACAAAAATTTCTGTGAGGGACATTTGGTCATTTTATAATTGCTTGAAGTTCTACCCATTGTTCAAAAGCTTACCATTAGATTAGTTACAAAATCTTCAACCTACATAAGACTTTTAATTTTTGCTATCAAGTTTACACAAAGGAATATCACTGGACAGTTTGAAACTAGTATAATGTAAAAAAAATAGTTTTGAAAATATTAAAATATATAACATAGGCTGTTCTTTGGAATATGGTAACAGGTGATTTGCTGGTGAAGATTGCTAAGTGGAGGTGTAAAGATGATCAGCAGTAATTTCAAAGTTTTCGAGTAACAATTTTATGTACGCCAAATAAGTTACAGGTTTTAAACAACTAAATTATACATATTACTAAATATATATATTTGGCCGTAAGCTGTTGTACATAAAATTTTGATTTTATTAAATTTTATACAATGCTTAATAATTTTATTAGCTTTCATATATCTTTCCTATTTTGAATTTTAGGAATGACAATCTGAAACGTTGCAGTCAGTGTGAATTTCTTTATTTTTGTGATAGAAATTGTCAGGTTTGTATTAAACTTTCTTTACTAAATTTTGAAATCAAATACAGTTGCATGAGCATGATCTTCTGCATGGCCTTGTCAAGTAACATCAAAATATCAGTTTTAGTAAATTTTAAAAATTTGATATGGCTTGAACCAATTATTAGACAATAAGGCAGATGCTGTATGAATATTGAAGTTATTGGATTGTTGTAAATAAAATGGCCAAATCAAAAATCAATTAGAAAAGAAGAGAATAAAAGAAAAAAAAAAGTACCAAATATCATTTAATCAAAATAATGGCTATAATAAATCTCCAGCTGCATTGTTGCAAATTGTGGTAAGATAAGTTATACCATATTTGTAAAAGTCTATCTGTGTAAATCATCCATTGCCTAATAAATAGATGCATCATTACCAAAACATTTCTTGGACAAAAAATGGCTCAGCTCTCATAATAAGAAAATGGTAACTGGTTGGAGAAATGTTAGAAGAATATAGAGGCTGCAACAACAACATTATATCTCAAGTTGTTGATTTGTTGTGCAGTTGACACTGACGTATATAGTTAGGCATTATCCTGAAGAAACATGACTCCATGTCTAGTCACATATATTGTTTACTTAAGATATTAGTTAGAGTTGACTTTAAGGTACCCCTTGTATTATGGCGAAGTTGTTGTTTCATTTATCGCCAAGTTGTTGTTTCATTTATGGTAGCCTGAGTAGTTGAATGTTATGGAAACCCTATTTTATTGGGTACATGATTCTGGGAAATTTTGAATCATGGGATGTTTTGTAAGAGCTTTTGTGGTATGTGTTGGTTTTATTGTTTAGATGGTAGAATGGCTGAATGTAGTAAGATTAATTTGAAGTTTCTATATGATTTGGAATGAAAGGGGAAAAGAGTGTTAATTGACTGGTGTGTAAATGAAGGTTCACTTAGTAGCCATTATAAGTGTCCTGTATATAGGAAGGATATCCGTCTAATCGACTGTAAAAACCGTTTAGATGGATTTGAATTGGTTTGTAGAAAGAAACGTTCAGATGTGGCGATGCCAATATACGGATTCGAGTTCAGATTATTTTAGGAAGTTTTTGGATGCTGTTAAGGAATTTTGTGTGCCACAGACTAAAGACGAAGGAACTTCTAAATAGGGAGAGTGGATATTTGCTTTTGTAGTGCTTAAATGTATAACATGTTTTTCCTTTTTAATGTTATTTTATTGTTTTGTTTAAAATGCAGTTTATTGAGATTATGTATTTTTGTTTGCCTGTATTGTAGAATTGGGTGCTCCTTTGACTTTTTAAGTGAAAATATATAAATGTGTACTGGACAAAGTGAAAGGAGTGTGCAATGCAAGTTTGTGCAATTCTTGGATTTTTTAGCGTGAAAATAGGTCAACGTGTACATGGATAAAGTCAAGGGAGTGTGCAATGCCATTTTTGTGCAATTCGGGGATTTTTTTTTAAGTGAAAATAGGTTGATGTGTACATGGATACTGAGTTTTTGATGCAAGCCAAAATAATAAGTCAAAGAATTGTACAAACTCGATATCCATGTACCGCTGAAAATCACTGCTGAAAGTTTCGCCAAGGGGTACCCTAAAATACACTTTTACCAAGATATTTGTTATGCATTTGCTACGTATCTATAAAATACTGAGCTAAATTTGTTGTTTCATCTCATGGAATGAATAATACCACTAGAAGACTACCATACAGTGAACAACATCTCCTTTGAATGCACAAATGCCTTTAATCCTTCCTGGAGTGTCCAACCATTGTGATAAATATGTACAGTTTTTGTAAAATATCCAATTCTCATCCACAGTCACAATCCATTGCAAGAACCATTTTCCATGATGCAGCCGTTTATCAAGTTACTTTACTTTTCCTGTGATTACTAAGTGTCATCAAAACAGTTGTATGTTTAGTATGTGCATGAAACTGCATGATTAATTGTATGGAATATCACATGGTGGATATTTCATACAGTTTGGTACCATCCTGTTATCAGGATTGGGTTCAGAAATGTGTGTATGTATGCATGTATATGTTCATGCATTAATGTAAGAATGTATGTGTGTATACATATACACATATATGCTCATACATACATGCACACATCCATACAATTCTGAATCCTGTCCCGATAAACAGAACAATACATACAGTTTATCATAGAACTGATTCAATTATATCATTTAGTTTGATTCAGTGGATGAAATATGATGGTCACAGGACTCATATGCGAATGGATATATCCTAAGTTCTTCTTTCATTTAATGATTTATCATTGTTTTATACTGTAGCCATTACAGAACTTTTCATTTCAACTAGTAAAGATATAACAACTTCAATTGACTGGTTTCTGTATTTCTCTTAATATGGTAGTATTCGGTGTTTAATGTTCATTGAATGAAACAAATAGTATAGTTGCATCGATCTTGTTGTGTCGTGAATTTTTAATTGTGCTTATGTTATTTAATTAATCAATATTTGAGTTTTTTATTTGTATTTCATTTAAATTTTAAATTGTAAAGAGTGTTATAGATATATTTGCAACTGCTAAAATCTTTAGCTATATATTTTTCTATGGTTTGATTTTTCTAACAAAGATAGGGAGTGTTTCTTTGGACTGAAATGACTTCTTTCCCCATAGCTTTCACGATAGCAGAGGCAGTACACTGGTGTGCAAAAATTAAGGACTAGACGGTTTTTTCAATATAACAAAAGCTTTCCAAATCAACACATTTAATACCGTAAGATCCCCAATACGTAAGGACATGAGTAATGTAAGTAACACTTACTAAAAGAGAAATCAGAGGGATAAAAAGAAGCTTTATGAAAAAGTAGCATGGAGCGCAAGCGACTGAAGGCGAAAACATCTCTGTGATAGGTGTCCAGCAAGAAACATCCGGTCTTTTATAGGGGATATGATCTCCCCTGACTGCTAGGCAGGTTTCACAGCAATCTGCCCATCTGAGAATGAGGTGTCAATGAGTTGTTGAGGCATTGCTGCCCATTCGCTTGCAGGCTAATTGAAGCTCGGAATCGTTTACTGGTGGTAAGGACGAGCTCCAAGCGTCTGCCTAGAAAATCCCATACATGCTCGATGGCATTGAGATCCGGAGATTGTGCCGGCCAATCCATACGTTCAATATCCTCACTCTCTAAGAGCTGTTCGGGCAGCTACTGTGCGATGACATGGTGCATTGTCATCCATGAAAAGGAACTGCGGACCCATAGCGCCTCTAAAAAGACCGCACATATGGAAGAAGAATCTTGTTACAATAACGGGTCCCGTTGACTGAACCTGCGTCGAAGATGTGAAGGTCTGTACGACTACCAAGCATGATGCCTCCCCAAACGAGAACACCGCCACCTCCATACCTGTCCCTTTCAATGATGTTCGACGGATGATTGCGGCTTCCTCGCTCTCTCCAGATGAGTATGCGATGAGAATCGTTACTCAGACTGAATCTGCTCTCCGTCCCCATTCATTGTCTCTCCAATTCTGGTGTTCCCGGTACCACAGAGAACGCCTTCTCCGATGGGCAGGCGTTAGAGGTACACACCGTACAGGGCGTCGTGCAAACAGACCACCACCGTGCAGTCTTCTGGCCACGGTAAAACGTGATATCGGTCGTCCAGTTGCCTGTGTTGTGTGTCTAGCAATTTCTCCCACTGTCTGCCGCCTGTTTCTTCTGACCTGTAAGGCAATATACCGGTCATCTGCGGGTGTGGTTCCTCGTGGACGGTCACTACTAAACCCCCGTATAGCTGTTCCTGTAGTTTGAAATTGTCTCCAAAGTCGTGAAATGATGCTATGAGCAATTCTGAACTCTGCAGCCACACTTGTCACTCTGTGGCCTTCCTCCAACTTCCCAATGATTCGACCTTGGGTAAAAGCATCCAGATGTCGTCTAACAGATTGATTATTCGCCATTTCTCGCTGAGGCAGCAACTCGGTGTGATTTTAACTGCTATACGGCATGCAATCTCTTTGCCAGAAATACTGATCTTACACCGACAACATGCTTTATACTACTCAGACACTCCCCCATTACGTCTACCTGCATATCTGCGCATGTGCTACCGTACATCACCTTACTTAATCTCCTGAGTGGTCTTTCTGTCCGCTCTGCCTCTTCGTTCAGCTGATATGCTAATTTTTCAACTTCATCCTTAATTTTTGCACACCAGTGTATAGTAGTGTTGTTTCGCATGTCTTTGTTGCCGTGAGGGCAGATGTCATTTTGGGCTGCTCGCTGGGAGGGGGGGGGAAGGTTCAGATACTGGATGGTAAAAGAAAGTCTTAATTGCCGTCTTGCTGCACTTTTTTTTTATGAATACTGCAAGTTTAAATAAATGAATTTCTTTCGGACAAAAGGGTGTCTGTAAAATTGATCTTCAGGGGCAGTTTGATTCTTATCTCTTGTTTTTCCGATTGTTAGCTGGGGGTTGAATTTTGGTTTATCACACTTCTGGATGACTCACTGTTTCCAAATGGCCAACCTTTTTTTGTACAGTATCTCTGCTTCGATATTTTTTGGGTGTGTGAAGTTTCTCAGCAAGATAAAGGGAGAAACTCTTGGGTTGGTTAAGTTTAATTTTATGTGTGATTTTTGGGCCTATAGTTTCTGGTTAGTGGAGAAAACGAGGTTTCTTCGGAGCTCGTAGGTGTGTTGAAGGCAAACAGAATCGCGTTTTAGAGTGGTGAAGTTTCTTTAAAAGAGTTAGTGGGGTGTTTTCTCAGCTGCGGCTTGCCCTGCTGTGGGTGGCCTGTGCCATTGGGCTGGAACTGTGTTTTTTTTTCTTTTGGCTTGAGATGTGTATTGTTCCTGCGAGATGTTTCCTATGAGATGTAGAACTTTGTGCGATTTCTTCCGAATTTGAAAATGGACATTTCTGAAATGGTTATTCCAGGAAATTAGATGTTTTTACTCCTAATTGCTCCTTGTAGTTGAAGTTTACCAGTGTTCCAGCCACCTTATTGCAAGCATTCTGGTCGTGGGTCTAGGAATTCAGTCGTTGCTCGTGCAGTCTTCGCCGAAGGGGTTTATTTTCTTTTGGTATTACCATTCATCTACTTCCATTACTTCAGAATTATTGACTTCTGGGCTTCTTCTCTTCTTCAACTGTATTTTGTTTTAAGAGGTAAAGGACTGAAGCCTGGTGGCATAGTGGCTACCGTGTTATGCAGCAGCACCACAGGTCTGGGGCTCGATCTCCGTGCTGGGCAAGGTTGACTCATCCTTTCATCCCTTGAGTGGGTCGATAAAATGAGTACCAAGTTTGCTTGGGCATTAGGGGACCTGCAACAAACTGACCACTTGTTCATCATATATAGAACAATAGGGCATATGCTCATGCACCCTGAGGCCCACGGTCAAGAAGACAGAATTTTGAGCAATGCAAGCTAGAACTGTTGCGCCAATTCCTGAGTTATTGTGAATTTCTGTGTATGCCACCAATATGCAGCAGCTTCTTGTGATGATGGGTTCCTGATGACCAACTGTAAGTTAGCTTATATTTTTATTCATAAGATTATAGTATTTGCCAAGTGAGAGTAATTTTAATTAATCCTTCGTATTTGGGAGAAAGAGAAATTCATTTGATAATAGAGAAAATTGTTAGTGCCTTAAAAGAAAATTTAAAATTATTGTCTAAAAATGTGCAATTCTGTTAATTGTAATTTCTTTATAAGTCTATGTGAGATTCACTTTAAATAACTAATTTAATGTTGTAGGGTGATCAAAATAACCATTTATTATGTTAAGTTTGAACTGTGATCTTGATTAAATGACTTGAAAGAAATACTGTGGAATATTATTTACTATTGCATGTAAAGGGTATTCTGGTCAGCTAAATTAATAAATGGGTTTGATTTGTATATTTTATGTTTTCTTTCTTGGGTCTGTCCAGTCACTCCATTTGTTAGAGCCATAAGGCTTTTAAGAGACATGGAGTTTTACTCAGGGTATTGATAATATTTTTAAGTACTATAAGGATTTTCACAATGCGCCCTTTAATATTTGTACTAACCACTTAATAATAATTATTTGAATTTTGTTTTTGGATAAATTGAAATGATTTTTAGGTGCCAGGAATGTATTTAAACTCTTAATCTTAAAAAATTTTTTTTTTAAGAGGAACTGTTTGACAGTATTATGAATATTTTTTCTTTGATGTTTGTGAGGTTTTGAATTAATGAAAATGAACATAGTTTTTCTTGAGTTACATTAGTAAATAATCGAATATGTAGTTTACTTAAAGCGAAGAAATGATTTTAGGTGGAGAGATAGCATACTTACCCGAGCACCAGTGAAGACTTATTCCTCTTTGTCTTCCATGTTAAGTTTTATTAAGTGTGAATTTGCTTTTGATTGAGTTAATTGAGTCTAGAACAGTTTATTAATTGTAAATTGGGTTAGATCAATCACACAATTCCTCTCCTTCTCTTTTATTCTTATGATTTAAAGTTTCAGATTATTTTCAGTGGAATTTATCATTCTTATTTTTATTTTTTTGAGTTTGCCACCAACCGTGTAAAAGTTTGTACCGAAGAATTCAAGGTACCATCACTAAATTTTTGTGATTTAACAATCGCTGTATGATATTGTCACATGACATAAAAATTTACATAATTCTTAATGTTTGCTTTCTTTTGCAACCAAGGGAAACCTCTCATCATTCAATGGCCATTGTATGTACAGCAGTTTAATACTACAAGTAATAATTCATGAATCCTTCAGACTAGGAAAAATTTCTTTACTGTTCATTCCAAAAACATCATTGCAAGTGCCGAATTTAGAGAGGGCAAGAATTCAAAAATACTCATTGAGGAAAATTTTTAAAAATTAGATTATGTTGATGGGGTTATAGCTCTCTGTTACAAGCCTTTTCACATATATCATAATATGTTTTAATAATAAAGCATAATTTAAAAACGCAACAAAAATAATTTTCTTGATCTTTCACTATTAATGCATGGCGAATGTCGACATTTGCCAGTGTAAGGGGGAAATACAGATATTCAGCAAAAATTTCGGACATACACCAAGCCACTAATGTTGACATTCTCCAGATTTCGGACTTTCGCAGTAACATGTACTACATTAGCTCCAAATGTAGGAATTTTGTGTTTTAAACAATCCAATTGAGTTGAGTGCAAGTAAATAAATGACATCAGCTTGTTCTCACAAGTACAGTGATTTATTTTCACAGCTATATATAGCTTGTTTTTTAATATAAAAACTTCTTGTTGGCGCTAGCATGTTGAAATTGATTCATGTTTATGGCAAAGATGATACTGGCTTAGGAAATGCAGTGTCACTAATATCACTAAAACTCTTTAAGAAAACATGTCAAAGTTCACACTGGTTCAGCTTATGTTATTTCTGGAAAAAACTAATGCAACTAACTTTTTGCAGGTTGCCAGGAACTGGGGCCAAACTATAAGTGTTTGATGCTTTCCCACTGGTTGCTGGTAGGTGTGAACATTACCTAAGATTGATAAGGTAGAGTTACAGAAAAATCTAATTAAAGGAGGATCTGTAAAGACACATATCTGTATTCTTTAAAAACTGTGGTATCAGATTGTATATAAAATTTTAAGAAAAGACTTGTTCCGAAAATGAAAGCCAGAGAACTTAAAGAATTTAACAGTGCAGTTAAACTAATTTTAAACACTAATATAATAAAGGTGTAAAGATTTTGTGACAGATGGCTGTCAGGGAGGCCAAGTTTCCATGAACAACTAAATCTGTACTGTAATTGTGAATATGCACTTTTTCTGTGTTAAACTTTGTACTTTCTTTCTTTTAAATGTTATGGCAGTTTGTGTTAGGATTGAGTCAGCAAGCATATTACATAAAAGTATTGTATATTATTTAAGTTTATTTCTCTTTTCTATAATTTGAAACTCACTCTTTATTACTAAGTCTTTATTTTTAAAATGTTTTTTTGTTTAAATAACTTATCCTTAGAAGTTAATGAACACAAAGTTAGACTTTTGAAACAAAATATATCAATAATACTCTAATTATAGCATTACTACAATAATCTGCCAAATTACATTAGGAATTATTTGAATAATGTGTGATGTTTAATACTTTTTAAGTATCATTTTAGTTTTTATTTTAGATGAAATCTTGAAACATACATAAAAATGAGTAATTTTTTTTAAAATGTTATTTTTTATTTTTGTTTTAGAGGAAGGCCTGGGATATTCATAAAAATGAGTGTAAATGCATAATGAGAGCCAGTCCAAAACAGCCCTCTGCTTCCATGCGTTTGATCTCTCAGATTTTCTTTAAAATAAAAGTAAGTTAACTGCAGTAATTTTACTCTAGACATTGTCTAATGATTGAAGTTTTAATCTTTTTAATTTTTATTTAATTTTCTAGAAATGTGCAAATATTAAATTTACCATTTGTATAAAGTTTCCTTTTAATTAATAAGCTAAAAATTTCTTTCCTGTTCTGAGCTCATGGGTATCTTTTTAACTGCTATTTGTTTTCATTAAAGTGCATGTTCTGTTGATGAAGATTTGAATAGAATGATAGTACACTTTAAGTAAAATGTCAGATTGTAAACAGTGTACTATATATTAAATTTTGATTCTGTAAAAATTCTTATTTAAAAAAAAATTCAGAAGTTTAAAAAGCATTTGAAAATTATTGCAATTGTATTGGAGAATTTAATATTAAAGTGTTTAGTTTTAATGTCAGTTAAGTAATATACAAATGTAATAGCTGATGACTGACTGACAGATATAGCAAGCTCAAATTGTTCAGTGATTATTTGTTATTATCATGCTATGCATAGGATTATTTCTATATTTAACACTTTCAATTAAAAAACTAAGAAAAAGAATGCATTAGGCCTACCAATTTAAAATTTTTATCATTTGTGTAATTTCGGATTATCGGTTTTTCCGGATTATAGATCATCAATTTAAATCTGGTAAGATGGCATGCTGAAATTATAAAATTTAAAATATGAAACCGTAATTTATGAAATAAAGAGCAATTATGATCTAAAGGGTATCAAAATTCACAAAAAAAAGTTTAATATTTATTTGTTTCTTTATTAAACATTTCTTTCAACGGGTGCATGCAGAAAGCATACATTACGCATAGTCGAAATTAGAAAATTGCAAAAAGAAAACTATTTGATGTGTATTCGTGATATTTATAATGACGAGGAATTCGATTTAAATCAATAAATTTAAATAAAATCCCCCCCTCCCCGGCCGAGCAGCGTGAAATTGATAAACAGATTTTGGAATGGTTAGAGAAACAAAGGACATGCCTTTATCCATTTTTTGCAGCAATTCCACTTTTTGTTTGATGGACATCGAACATGCTTTCGCTTTGTAGATCCTTTGACAACTCCTGAATCAGAAATTCTTTTTGACATAATCGAAAGTTCAAGCTTACTTTTATACAATTGCTGTAACAGTCTGTAAAAAATAATAAGCCGGATCCAATTCGAAGATTAAGGAACAACACAATCTGCAACATTACCTGAAATAAATAATTATATAATTTTAGCTTAGTTTATACCGTCTACTATACATTAAATGCGCATGCGTAAACGTATTACGCGCATGCGTAAAGGCATTATGCGTTTACGCATGCGTAAACGTATTACGCGCATGCGTAAAGGCATTATGCGTTTACGCATGTGCGGAAAGTTTGTAGCTTTGAGGTCCGGATTAAAGACTTTTGACTGTATGTGCATTGATATCACATTTTGTTGATGTTACAGAGCAGATGCAGATAAAACAGAAGCCTAAGTATGTTGTGTCAGATTTCTTTTAACAGAAACAATTTCTATCATCCAGAATTACTTTTTCCCAATTTTAAATCACACATATTTTGACAAAATTAGTAATAATGCACTAAAATAATCCATTGTTATTTACACTCCTCAGCCTAGAAAATTCTAGACCAAATCTAAGATTCAGATGTGGAAATAAAATTGATGCTTCCTTAATCTCCAGTGAACACATCTGTAGAAGTTCTAATGCAACTTAGAATGTAAGAGGTGAATCTTGTGATAAGAATGCAAAAAAGAATTTGGTGTGTTTCTGAAATATTACACTATTTTTCTGCCACTTCTTACTATTGCACTGATGTCTGTCAAAACTTGAGAGCTTTTAATTTTTTGTTTGATAAATCAAGATATAAACAAGTAACTCAGAAAATTCAAAAGAACTGCATGCTTTGCAAAAGATAAAATACTTAAAAAAAAGTGCTAATAAAATTTACATTTATGTTATTGCAAGTGGTTGCATAAAACCCATGCTGGAAGATTATTATATAAACTGTAGATTGTTGCTGGCATTTGTTGCAAAACAAATAACTGTTTCTAAATTGTTGAAAAAAGAACTGCAAAAAATTTAATGGAGATCATTATTGATAATGTAGCCAAGGACTCAATATTTACAAGTTGTTGGAAAGGAAAGTCAATGCAGCTGTATGTAAGGGTTACTTAAATGTTGTTGGAGACTTTTTGTCAACACAAAATTCTTGCAGATCAAAAAATGATACTTTCTGATTATCTGCAGCACCTTTTTGAAAATTCAGCAACTCATTACTGACTAATTTTTTGGCAATCTAATATGCAAAAAGTAATAGCCATTTTTAGAATGATAGCACGCTAATTACTGCATACAATAACAATCATGTAAAAAAATTCTGTAATAAAATACCTTTGATATGCTGCTTTTCCTATGCACACAGAAATCTGTTTAGCTTAAAAAAATCAGAGGATTGTACGTATTTAATGCTGCGCATTCTGCTGTTGTCCCCATGTATACCGTGATCTGTTTTCACTAGTAAAAGATCAGAGAATTGCATAAATTTGACATCCTGCATTCTAGTCTAACACTTTGCTTGCAATTTTTCACATTGCATTTTCATAAAATTCGATTGTTTCAGAAATACAGCTTAACAAAAAGTGAATTTTCGCATTCTCTGCTGTTGGCTAAAATGTCATTACTGACAATGTTTTCTTTTTCATCAGCCAGCAAATTTCAAAGTCCCATTACAAATCATTACAAGATAAATAAAAAGTGCACTTAGTACAAAAACAAACACTAATCAGAAAAATGACTTTTAAATTTAGAGGTCTGCATGTTTGTGCATATGTGGGTTGCTATATAAATACATTTTTCTTAAGTCATGGATTGTGTGTCACTATTTTAATGACGTAGTATATTGCCTTGTGAATTCTTTTCTTGGCTAGAAGATTTTGTGGATAATCAGAAAGAACTGAAAAAAAAAAAAAAAAAAAAAAAGTATTGTGAAGAAAATGTTAACCAAAGTTACTTTGGTTTCCCTACAGTGCCTACATTACATTTAACATCAACAGTGCCAAAGTATCATTCATAATAATATTTTTGCTTTCCGTACAGTGCTTAAATATATTATGTGAAATCAGCTGAAAATATTAGTACTAGTAATACCTTCTGATTATCCATACTCCCCCCTACCAAAAAGTCACTAATGGTGTGGCAGTTTTGGAGAAAAATATTTAATTGTGTATTTACATCTACTTCAATGATGTATCCAGTGTCACCATTTTTTTTTTTTTTTTTTTTTTTTTTTTTTTTTTTTTTTTTTTCATCAAAAAATAAAACACTTGCATTTTTGGAGAAATACTTCTGCAGTTTTTTCTGCACTGTTGTTCTCCACTCTGTTTTCACTAAAAAAAAAAAAAAAAAAAAAAAAAAAAAAAAATCAGAGATTTGCACAAAAGTTGCTTTGTCTTCAACCTCAACATAGTGTATTGACCAAAATCACAATTGCCCAAGAACTGTTGAAGCTTCAAAGTAATGAAAACAAAAGAGGGCAAACTCACTAGTTTCATTACATTTCATTATGATAAAAACAGATGTACTCAATGCTAATTAGAAAAATGACTTTAATTAATTAGATGAATTAAAAGAAAGCAAATCCCTATGTACTCAAACACACACATGCTACACACATACCAACCTGGATTGCCACATTAATACTTTTTGATGATATGGTGCATTGCTTCATCAGTACTCTTTTGTGGCTTTTCAGTGAGAGTGTAGATAATCACAAAGTACCATATTAGCCAAAGGGCATTATGAGTTCAAACACCACAGTGCAAACTCAGAATATTTCAAAGCAATATGAGGTTCCTAATAAATTTTAATATGTAGCAAATGAAGTTTCTAATGAGTTTTAACATTGTGAAAGTTAAATAATTTTGAAAAAGATGCTAACTTCCTTTCACAGTAGACAATTTTCTCCAAATATATTTAGACTAGAATTTTATTTAAATTCATGTGAAATTTAATGTTTTTCTAGTCTTTATTTTAAAGCAAGAAAGTAAAAATATGCAACATTAAGAATAGAAAAATAGCTGTTTATGTTCTTTTGTCTTGTATGATTTTCATTAATTTTTCTGTAATTCATTTCTGTTTTTAACATAGAAATATGGTTATGATGAGCCATATGAAGAAATTCACGATCGTAAAGTTTCTTTTCGAACACTGATGTCACGTGAGTAATTTGATCAAACCTTTTAGTTAACTATATTAAGTTAAATAAGTGTTTTTTTAAAAATTTATCATGAAAGCAAAAACTGAAATGTAAAATCAAGATTTTTAAAATTCATGTATAGTATACTTTCAGTTTAATTTGCATTAACATATAAAATAATGTGCTGATATGTTCTTTTTTTATATGAGTTATTCATTGTAGCTAATAAATGTTTTGTATTTCATAAATGGTGTCTACAATAATTTCCTATTGTTTTCATGTATTTAGATGCTTCAGAAATAAAGCAAAATGGAAAGGCTTGTCAGCAGATGGTGGCATTAATAGGCACTCTCAAAGACTACATTGGGCAATGTAACATACCACCTACTGAGGAATTTATTGAAATATTTGGAAAAGTAAGCAAAATAGCAATATGAAAATCTGTTTATATCTCTATGTGTTCACTTTCTTACATAAATTCTTTTGACATTGAGCTTATATTTCAGTTGCAGTTTTATTATTTTTTATTACACCTCAAAGGAGATACATTGTTTTTATCTAATGTGTAAAATCACGTCCTGGAAAAATAAAATCCACAAAGAATGGAAAAAAACCTGAAGCAACATTTAGTTGCTATGCACTATAGTAAATATTGTCACTGTACAAAAAATCTTTTAATTTTTATGTGCACCCTCATGCGTAGCTTGTTTTTTGAAGTGTTGCCATTTGGCAAAGCTTAAGTTTTTTTTTTTTTTTTTTTTAGCTTTCAGAATTATTTAGTCTGTTATTAATTAACAAACTGAGCTGTTTAAAAGCTATGAATGCAGATTTTAAGAGTTTGTATCTTTATTTTACTTTTTAAGTAATGCTATTTAATTGCTATATTTGCAGCTTTGTTTTCTTGATTAAAGTCTGTTTCTTAGACCATGTTGTTGTTATTTATTTTTTTAAATATATTTTTAATTTTACTACCTTCTTCTTTGACATTTTGGGTTGTAATTAAAAGTTTTCAGTGTACAGTCTTTTTAAATTTTTCTTTTTATTATGATTATTTAATTTTGTGTTAAAAATGTTTTAAATTGAGCAGTTCAAAGCTGTGTATGATAAATGCTTGTACAGATTAACAAAATAACAATTTGTGTACAATTCTTAACCCTTCAATCAACATTTTAATTTAAAATTAGGCAAAAGAAGAAAAATAAATTTGGCATAGATTTTGAATTAAAACTGTGTCTGTTTTGAGGATGATCAGAAGAGAGAGCTGTTTCTGGTCACCTTTAAAATCAATAATTGTTCAAATCTAAGCAAAATTAATCTTGCTTTTTCCTTAATTTATAATTTTAGGCTGATATATTCAGGGTTCGTATGGTCCGTAAGAGTCCTTAAAAGTCTTTAGGTTTTTTTAATCGATTTTTGGTCCTTAAAAGTCCTTAATTTTGGCCAAAATCGGCAGAAGGTCCTTAATTTTAATAATCTAATTCTTCTGTTTTTGACTGCCATTTTGGGTGTGAATTAGCATTTTGCAGTATTTTTTTGGCGTCACTGAAATATGGCTATTTGTGAATGGTTCAGAGTTATTCCTATTTGTAATATAAGTAATGGTGGGATACTCGGTTTCTGAGCAAGAAGTGAAACATAAGCTTTCAAATTGTTTCATTTTTTTGTAATGAAAAGCTCCCACAATTTTCCGCTTTTAGGGATGTGAATTCTTTATTAAACGGTCTAACTTGGCGATTTTAAGACGGTTTCTATAGAAAATTTTTTTAATTCCGAATCTGGAATTTCACGATTTTTTAAAACATTCTAACATTGATAAATTTCATTAAAATATGGTAATATTTGGAATTATATTTAAGAAATAACATTAAAATAAAGCATTCTTATTTACTGTCATATTATGAAGTTCCAGTTTGGCCACATATTATACAATTTTTTTGAATCTGAATATAAGCAAGGAATAATGCTAAGCACAGTTTACGAAACAGTTTTTAGAAAAAGCAAATAGCTATATAATTAATTAAAATGTCTTTTTAATTTTTTCATGTGGGAATTTTTTTTCCATTTCTCAGAATGATCAGAATTCTCAGAATATGCAGTTTTCTCTATAAAATTAATTTCACTCTTTCCTCGATTTTTTCTAAAAACTTTCTGGATTTTTGCTGTTACAGAATTGGTAATTTTTCTGTGATTGGACTTTGAAGCTTGAAACGTTTAGAAAGATTTCAATGCAAATTTAAGACCCACGATTCTAAAAGATTCCAGAAAATGTGATAAAATTAAAAATGTCTCCATGGTAGTAACACGCAGTTTCTTGGATTTGGAGAAATCTGAAGAACAATGAAATCATAATATTTGAATGTTTAACTTTGATCTAAAAATCGCTTTCTTAACATTTTACTTCCCTTTTTGTCTACTTTTCACTAGATACAGCATAAAAATCAAAATTACTTCTAATCTTATCATATGGAAGCATTATAGAAAGGAATTTCTTTTATTAAAAGAAATTGAAAACCGACATTCAAGGATTCATCTAATATGTCTTAATGCATCATACACAGAGCTGGCGCTAGGCATTTTTGTCACCGTGCAGTCTCTGTGGATCCTAATTCTGATGCCTGTGCCATTCTAAATTTGCTTTCAATGCTTGCTCTAAATTCTAAAAGTTTGCCATTTCTAGATTTTTGGCTAAGTGTGTCCCTAAATTCTAAAAATTATCCACACAGCCCTATGACCAGACCTTATCATATGTATTTCATATTTCTTCTGAATGTTCATATTATAAAGAAATACATTGCAGCTTTTTCCATACATTCTAAGGCATTTAGTCTTTTAAAAAAGAAGTCTTTATCAATCTAAAAAATTAAGCGAAAGGAAACGGTTGAAAAAAGAAACTAATATGTAAAGAAAGAAAATTATTCTTCAAAGATTTGTACATTATTATTATATAAATTACCCCAGTTGTTTAAGTTTCCTTTTATTATTTCCCATTTCTATTTACTCATCAGAATGCAAATCACTTAGATAGTTTTTAAACTGAGTTTTTTGGAGTGTAAGACGGTGTTTTCTGAACTCCCATGCTCCCTGCATTAGTTCCTGTCATCTCTGATTTGTAATTATTAGTCTTTCCATTACTGAGCTGACTTTGAGTTTTTTTATGACAATAAGTTACTGAACCAGATTAATTGAAATTAATTGTATAGTTTTTGACCACTAGTCCATATTTTAGTTTGAATTTTCATTCTTCTTATTTAGTTATATCACCACAAACTGTATTTTATTTTGAGCAAGAACATGCCTATATGTTCCAAGTTCTTTTAAATAAAGCTTATTTAAACCTTTATTTAAATTTATAGCTGATTATAGTACTTTCCGACATAGTATAATTTCTTTCACGTCTGTCGGGGGGGGGGGGGTTGGACTATTTAACTTTTACCAGATCAAGTAAACCCTCATAGGTAGTACATTGTGGAGAGGTTGGCAGTTAGGAGATAAAACATGCAGAAACTGATGAAAACATTGTTTTGCATATTGAGACACATTTCTAATTGTTAGAAAACATGCGTAAGGAGAAGAAAGTAGAGAAAGAAGTAGACTTCTGAAGTAGAGAACTGACAGTCAAATAAAGAAATATATAGCCTTTCTGATTCAGTACTCTCTGAAAATTCTTACCATCGTGTACGATATCTCTTAGAAAATTCTTTGTCATAATAGCAAAAAATAGTATCACTCAAAGAGAAAGTAACACTGCCAATCTGGAGTTAAATCCCTGAAATCTCAATCCTTTTAAAAAATTTGATCTTGGCCTCATACTTGTGTATTTTTCTTCAGACATTGTGAGCAGTAATAGTTGAGAGAAAATTTTTTCACAAGTTAAGCTTAGCTTTAGCTAAGTGGGCCAAGATTTTATTAAAGAAGAGATGTAAGCTTTCAAGAAATGGAAGCATGCCAAGAAAAGATGGAAGGGGCCATTAAATCATTCAAAGAAAGACTGAAGCAGGTCAAGCGGAAATCAAAAGAGAAATTTCTACCATAACAGAAAACTAATTTGAGGATATTTAAGGCAGAATAAACACTATTGAAAATAAAGTTAGAGAAACTGATGAAAGAGGTTCTTCTTCAAAACAACAAATTGAAGAAAACGTTTGTGCTGCCGAAGAACAAATTGGAGAAAAAGTTTCTGCTGTCAAATAAAACATTGAAGAGAAAATTTCTGTGGCCAAACAACATATTGATGACAGAGTTTCTGCTGCTCTCGCCAAGGAAGTTGACAGCTTTAAGAAATCTATTCTAATGGTAAGAAACAATTCTGACAAATTTACATTTTTATCTGTGTCATCTTGACCCTCTGTAAAGCTACTCACATATGATGGAAAGACCTCCTGGCAAGTGTACAAGATGCAGTTCTGTATAGTGGCAAATGCAAATGAATGGAATTCTGAAGCTAAAGCTGCTGCTTCTCTGAGAGCAGACGCAGTGGATATCCTGCTCAAAAACAAAAAGTCTAGACTTTGAAGCTCTATCCGGCACATTGGAGCTGCAGTTTGGTGATAAGTATATGAAAAGACTATAGTAGACTTCAGCTGAAATCTAGTCAGCAGAAACCCATGGAAACACTCCAGGAGTTCGCCACAGATGTTGAAAGTCCATCTTAACTCATGTTTTAGGATTGTTCAACAGAAACAAGGAAAATGTTGTCCTTGCAGTACTTCATTAATAACTTGTGGAATCCTGAGATGCAAGAAACCCTGCAGGATTCTGAGATACATAAAATCATGTAAATATCAAATGTCAAAGGGAAAAAAAAAAAAAAAAAAACTTTCATGTACACTACGAAATTCAAGGAAACTGAGCAAGTAACTTGTACAGATCATCATCCAATTAGAACTGCTCAAGTCCAGAGGAGCAAATGGATCAAGTGACTACTCATGTAGACAATTGAACTAGGCAAGTCAGTGCCTTGAGGCAGAATAGGAGTAACAAAGTGATCCTAAAGCGCTGGAAATGCAATGATGAAGGCCACATACAAAGGAACTGCAGAACATCCCAAGGCATGGAAGCTAAAACTGCTTCTCAGCAAGGAAGCAAGAAATAAATTAGGGGTTATATAGTGGAACAGAGGTTGCCAGATATTGAGAAGCCTCCTTTTAAAGTGTTTCAGACTTCTGCAGTAGTAATGGATTCTTTATCATGGGTCATATGAGTGGAGTTCCTTGCCATATATATGACTGTTGATACAGCAGCATCACATGCATATGTGGCAAGTATTAGAGATCCTTGTATACTCAGACTTTGTAAGGAAACACAGTTTTTCTATGGACTTTAAAAATAACGAATTGCATTCTGCTTCTGACAACATAACACCGTTCAGAATTAAAGATGAAGGAGTTGAATTGGTCCACCAAATAATAGCTCAAAATGATATCATAGTACTTGCAAGAACAGAGTTTTTACTACCTAGCACCATAGCTGAAAACAGAAATTTCTGGTATTTCATAATGGAATTTCGTAAGAATCGTAACTGCCTTAAAGGAGTACTAGTAGCCTCGGGACTTGTCGACCTATCGAGGATTGTCATCCTGCTGAGAGTTGGCGACATAAGTAATAAGGTAAAAGTCATTAGGAAACATGAAATGATTACAGCCTGTACTCCAGAGACTTGCCTTAAATAAAGCAATAGTCCTACAGTCTCCGTATATTTGGAGATCCTAACATCAGAGTTATTGCAAAATGCACAACTTTTTTCTCACGCATCATTTGACGTAGGTCATACCAGTTTGGCACAGCATAGAATGAATACCGGGATCATCCACCACCCAAACAACATCCAAGACATCATAGTTCAGATCCGTAAGTCATCGAAGTCTAAGCCTAAAGTTGTTCATTATGACAGGCTAGCTGCTTACTGTGGCCATAGTGCATAATCCCCATTGTGTAAGTAATGTAAATAGTTTTACTAAGATTATTGTCCTGTGTGTATGTAAATTTGTAAATTCATGCATTTATTTATTGATTTATTATTTGATTTGTTACATATTATTTGTTGAAATTATTATTTTAGTTCTGCATTGATTTTCCTTAGTTTTGCCTGGGAGGTGCAGCCCTTGGGAAGGGGGCAGTGTTACAGATTTTGTATATAGGAAAATAATTTTAGTGAAATTATATGTAAAATTGTAGTATCTCTTGCATAATATAACATGAAGTGTCTCGAAAATGAGAAACTTTTTTGGAAATATAAGAGAACAATAAGAATTTTAGAAGGGCAAGTCTATTTAATATTGAGGTAAATGGCTATCTGGCTAAATGGGTGATATATTGCCAAGCTGGTGATGTTTTTGGTAATTAATTTTTGTTACCAAACCAACGAGAAACGGCCAAAAGTAACCAAACTTGGCAACCATTTGATGACATATTAGTCCAATCTCTGTGTAACTGTAACTGGTACTGTAATTAAATAACTGTATTTATCCCTATATGTAAATGTAATCATATCCAGACCTTATATATTCTTTCCAGTAATTTCGAGAAATGGAAAGTCCAGGAAGTTCCTCTTTGGCCTGGCAAAACTATGTAAGATCGGAGAGAGCATCAGTTCACAGTTTTTAGTTCAGACTTGAATTCAAAATGTTGAGAGATTCATTGCAAGCTTTGCTCTTTAGATGCACATGCACTTTGCATTGCAATGTGTTTAATGTTCCTAATAAGTTGAAGTGGTAACTACTGATTGTGCTCTGTTATATTGGGAAGAGCAAGAACAAGAAGAGAAGAGTATTTTTGTGGTAAGTTACAGCAGAACTGTAAAAAGTGTTTCTTTTTGAAAAATAAATTTTATGAAGTTATCATTGGCTCTGTGTGCGTTCAATGTAGTATGAAGCCATATGCATGCAGCAACATGTATAAACACAGTTTAACCCCGCCCGAACGCTTTGAAAATAATAAGCGTTTATTAATAAAAGTTCAAGAATTGTTAACTGTTTGAAAAATGAATATCTAATTTAAAAGTTAAGGGTAAAGTAAAGTTATTGTTATAATTTTTCCAAAAGTAAGTAGCACCCAGCAACACCCAAATCATAAAGTCTCTGAACACCAGTAGATCAACTTCAGTTCCAGGTAACGGCCTGGCTGCATAGGTGTTTTCATGTGTAAACAGGATATGAGCTAGTTTCCCTTAGAAAGTCCTCTACAAAAGTATCTCTGCCTTCAGGCAGATAACTCTCATGTGCTTTATTGTAATGAAGTAAACCAAAGTAATCTAAAAGTAAAGTTTTTGAAAAGTTGTACTGTATTTTTTTTTTTTTTTCCATTTAACAATTTCTGAAGAAGGTAAGTAAGTTTTTATTTGCTATTTTCTAATGCAGGCATTTTTACTTTCAGTAGATGTGCATAAATACATTCAGTATCTGTGATAGTGAAATGCAAAGTATTGGAAGTGGCATATATTTAGGGTACGTGAAACTGTTTTCTAAAATATATTAATTTTTGTAATTATTCGTAAATGTCATTGTGTTTAAATTATGTTTTACTTATCTTGCTACAGCTGCATTTTACATTTTTTCTGTAATTCTCCAGTTTTTGTAATATTTAAAAATCATTCAAATAAGAAATTTGCAGCTGTGCTTTACTGTTTTGAGATTCTTTTGTGATTTTAGAACATTTCAAATTCATTCAGGTAAGAAATTAGATCTGGATGTGACATTTATTTTAACTTCTACCATCTGCTGAATTTGAACATTATCCTACATTCCCTTTGATTCACATTATAAATATTAGCAGAGATCAAAAGGTTATGCAAATCCAAAGCATATGCTTAGAAATACAAGGGGAAGTTGTCAGTAACTTTACGAGATGAGTGTTTTTTTTTTTTTTTTCCTTGGTGATTATTTTCTCCAATCTAGCTAAATGCATTTGTAAAGTAAGTGATGGTGTTCTGGGGAGCTGCATCAAAATTAAGTCTTTTCTGTCCAAAATGGAAGTTAGACCCCTTCTATTGTTGCTTACATAAAAACAAAAGCAAGGCATCTTTTTTAAAGACATATGTAATCTAATAGTGTTATACTAATTAAAGTGCTGGTTACATGACTGTTGCCAGCTTTTTGTTGAAAAGTAACTAATCTTTTAAATTGTGTATTTTCTCTTTAGATGCAAACTATTAATAGTGATTAAAGTTTGCTAATTTGAATTTTTGCTTTATGTAA